ACTCTGAGTTATTCAGCATGGTTTTATTGTCCTTGGTTTTAAAAGTTATATATTATTTTTTTGTCTTTAAATAAGGTCAAAAAGAAACCCATAACATTCATTCTTATTTAAATCATCCTTGCCAGACCCTATGAATTTGACCACAGTGTGAAGCACTTCCCTAAAACGCTTTATTATTTATATCCAAGAGTGTAACGTCTCCTAATCTGAGGCCCCCGTTAGAAACTCTTCAACTCTGGACCGTTTTATCAGCTCCAATTCGGACAGTGTCCTTTCCTGTTCGCTCTCACCCCCAACCCCGTTCATTTCACGGGTCTTGTTATTCCCTCCCCAACTCCGCCCCATGTTTCAATAATTTGTGCCTTTGGAGCGTCTTTTTTTTTTTTTTTAATTTTCGGAAAAAATGGGAATGCTTTGCCACCCTTATTTCGGTCTAAGTGTTCCCTAAGTTTCCACTGCCTTAAGAGCGCCTATCCCGGCTCAAAACAAGAATACGCAGTCCCTTATTTAGCCACTGCTCAGGGCAAGTACTACAAGTGAATACTAAAATACTATTAAAAGTAGAGTTATAATATTTACAACACATAATCACACAATCTTACAAGTGCTACAAGTACTACAATTACTACAAGTGAAGGAGTCCGACCGCGAGCTGGAGCTCTGACCTCCTGAAGTTCAAGGACTAAGAGATACGCTCCAAAACCAACCAGCTCCTCTCCCCCGGTCCTAGACGCTGAACCCGCGGATTGGAGGGGCGCCTTCTACTGGGCCTCAGTGAGCCGGGAGGGCGAGCGGCGCGTGCGCCAACGTTGATTGGTTGGCAGGGCCGGCAACCGAGCCAATGGGAGTTCGTCTTGTTGTCAGGCGCGCTGCCGGCCGGCACGGGGGTCGGCGGAGGAGCTGTTGCCTGGAGACATCTGGTGAGTTTCTGGGCAGCAGGTTGGGGGGGCGGTCCCGGTGTAGGTGTGCCGCTCTCGTGAGCCAGAGGCCTGGCCACAGAGGCTGCTGGCGCGAGTTGGGGTCACTTGAAGACTCTGGGGTCTTCTCTGGCATTCCCCGAGCCACAGTTGGGGAAACCGAGGCCGGGAAGCTGAAAGAAAGAGACAGGGTTCACTGTCTGCCCCGCGGGCCTCCTCACAGCCCTCGCCAGTTTTCTGAGGTGATGGCTTCTGGCCTCGGGAGTCACAGTGACAACAGTAGGAGCCACCATTGATTCTGCGTCTGCTGGGTGCAAAGCCGGGAGCTAACCCTTTCCTCTCGTCCTTTCACTCACCTTCACAATAGCTCTGCGAGGTGAGTGCTCTTGTTAGTGCTATTTACAAGGGTGGACATTGAGGCCGAGGGAAGGTGAAATGATGTGCTTAAAGTCACCTAATTGGTCAGCATGTCTCCAACTGAGAATTTTGACCATCCCGCTGCACTGCCCCTCGGAGGAGTCAGATCCGGATTAGACAGACCTCACCCAACAGTCCCAGATGTCAGCACAGTTGACTTCTGGGGCCACCATCATTCTTAAGTTCCTGGGTTATTACGGTTCATAGGTGGGATATTCGGATTGCGTGCGGCTAAGATTCCTTCTGTGTGATTCATTACTGTGAATGAATGGCCTTAGAACTGTCTTATCCAGAGGTTAGCAAACGTTTTATAAATAAGATTGTGTTATTATATGTTGTAAATATCATAACTCTACTTTTAATAGTATTTTAGGCTTTGGGGGCCATACTCCAACTCTGTTGTAGTTTGGATACAGTCAAAGACAATACATAAGAGTGGCTGTGTTTTTACAGAAATTTTATTTATGAATACTGGATTTGAATTTTGTAGACTTTTTATGTAATTTTCATGTGCAAAGAAAGCAGCGGACTGAATAGCTTGCAGAATCCTTATCTAGTCCACAGTAGAGGAGACAAAGTAGAGGAAACACAGTAGAGGAGACTTAGGGGCATCTATGCCAAGCCAGTCACACAGGTAGGTCTTGCCACAACTGAGCTTAAGACTTAAGCTTCCAGACATCTGGGCCAGAACAGACCAGGAAATGCTACTGCTTATGGCTCTGGATCAGGATGCTGAGTTGCTCAAAGTGTTGTTTGTTATTATGTGTTATTAGGCCATGGAATCTATTCCCTAAACTATACTCATGAAACTATAAAGAGTTTGAATACTTGTGAGCTTAAAATGCTGATCTGGGAAAAATGCAACTGCTGGGCTGAGAATCTGAGAAATTACTACAGGTTGAACACCACTAATCTTAAAAATCTGAAATACTCTAAAATCTGAAACCGAGTGCAGTCATGACTCCACAAGTGGAAAATTCCACACCATAGAACTTTGTTTCATGTATCTAATTATTAAACATATTGTATAAAATGATCTTTAGGCTATGTGTATGAGATGTATATGAAAAAAATGAATTTTGTGTTTAGACTTACATCTCATGCCCAAGATATCTCATGTATATGCAAATATTCCAAAATCAAAGGAAATCTGAAATCCAAAACAGTTCTGGTAACTTGAATTTTCTTCCTCATCTTCTATTATAGCTGGGTTTTGTTTATTTGGTTTTGGTACTAGGTATTGAGTCAGGGGTGCTTTACCACTGAGCTACACCCTCAGCCCTTTTTATTTTTTATTCTGAGAAGGTCTCACTAAGTGTCCAAGGCTGGCCTCAAACTTGCAAACTTGCAATCCTCTTGGTCTCCTGAGTACTGGGATTACAGGTATGCACTACTGCAACTGGATTTTTTTTTTTAAAGCTCCTCTGGGGGGTTCATGGTGAATAATAAATACATCATCATCCTCAGGATGATAAATGTGTAATCTCAAATGGTTATTTCTTTTAAGTTTTTGTATTTTAAATGAATTTTAAATTTAGAGCAATAATCAGAACACCCTTATGTCTCTCATCCCGATTTCCCCTGATGCTTATGTTTTTTAAAAAAAATTTTTTTGGTTGTTAATGAACTTTTATTTTATTCATTTATTTATATGTGGTGCTGAGAATTGAACCAGTGCCTCATATAAAGCCCTCTACCACTGAACCACAACCTCAGTTCCTGATGTTTATGTTTATAGCGCAATTATCAAGAACAAGAAACCAACTTTGATATAATGTTAACTAGACTACAGATATGATTCAAGTTTCACCAGTTTTTCTGCCAGGCTTTGTTTTCATTCGAGATTCTGACCAAGATCCTGTGTTGCATTTAGTTATTTCTCCTAAGTATCCTATAGTCCATAACATTTCCTCTGTCCTTTCTTGGCCTTGATACATTTGTTTGTTTTTTGCTGGGACTGAACCCAGGACCTCATGCCATGCTAGGCAAGCACTCTACCACTGAGCCACATCCTTGGTCCCTTGGCCTTGATATTTTTAAAGAATACTGATCAGATATTTACTTTGAGGAGTGCTGGGGATTGAACTGATTCAGTTATTTTGTCTAATGTCGCTCAATTTAGGTTTGTTCTGTGTTTTTCAGAATTGGAGTCAGGATATGCATTTTTGGCTAAAATATCAGAAACATTGTTTTTGTGTCTTATGTGAATCTCAATAAAGGAGTCCAAGATATTGATATATCTTATTATATGTGATATTTACCTTGATCACTTGGTTTAGTTGGTGTCTGCCATGTTTCTATGCTAAAGTTATTCCTTTTCTAATTAATAATTATCTTGAGGAAGATAATTTGAGAAGATACAAATTTTGATTTTCCTCAAATTCGTGCCCACTGACTTTAGCATTCATTTGTGAATCTTTTGGTGTTTGTCTAAATGTGATTAATTAGCCATTCTTTTTTTCCTGCTACATTTATGAATTGAAAATCTATAATGGAAGAGCTGTCTATTCTCTTTTAAAAATTTATTTGATTATTTACTTTTATCATAATGTACCATAGATATTAATTTTATTCTCTGAGTTATGATCCATTATTATTATTTTATTGCTTACTGCTTCTGCCTTGGCTATTTAAGATCTGAAGTAGATCTTAAAACTTCTGTCTCCTATCAATGGGCCTTCATTATTGTTTTTTTTTTGGGGGAGGGGTACTGGGTATTGAACACAGGGGCACTCAACCACTGAGCCACATCCTGGGCCCTATTTTGTATTTTATTAAGAGTCAGAATCTTACTGAGTATCTTTGAACTCTATTTTTTTAATATTTATTTTTTAATTGTAGTTGGACACAATATCTTTATTTTATTTATTTTTATGTGGTCCTGAGGATCGAACCCAGGGCCTCGCACATGCTAGGAGAATGCTCTACTGCTGAGCCACAGACCCAGTCCCGGGCTTGGGACTCTTGATCCTCCTGCCTCGGCCTCCCAAGCCACTGGGATTACAGGTATGCGCCACCACTCCTAGTTTGTTGTTGTTTTTTTGAGCTCTCATTTTATAAAGTCACCAAAAGGTGTTCTAGCCTCATTTTGTTTTGTTTTTTTCCTCAGCCATAACCATGAAATCTTTTTGTCTTTAGTCTAACAGTATCCAGTCAAGATACTGTTTTCCAGTTACTTAGATTAGTTATTTTCTTTCTTACTCTCTTCTGTTTTGTTAAGTTAATTACAGTACAGTTGGGTTCATTGTTAATGTTTATATTCCTTATTAGGTTTCCCCTACATCATAGTTGATTTTAATTACTTATTTTTGGGGTCTGAACCACGAATGGTTCTGAAAGTTTGAGCTATGCACAAAAGTGTCTTTCTCCTCATCTTACCACACTGTGCTCACTGTCCTCTTTTTCTTCTTCTTTTTTTTCAACCTCTTTTCTACCTACCTGTATAGCACACTTTAGTATATAAATTATTCTGAGTTTCAATTTGCACACATAGTTGTGTATTTTCTTATATCTTCTTTCTTCTATGAAGGGCAGCATGCTATACAGTTTTGTTTTTTTCCCACTTAACAGTGTGTTTTGAAAATCATCCTATATTTATTCATGGAAGCCTTCCTCAGTGATATTTTTTCTTTTTCTTTTTGGCAGTGCTGAGGATTGATCTTGGAGCCTCATGAATGCTAGGTATGTGCTGTATGACTGAACTCCAGCTCTTCCTTAGTAATTTTTAAAAACAGCTTTATTGCCCCCACTTGCTGTCAACCACCATTCTACTTTGTTTTTATGATTTTGACTGTACTCTGGCTACTTCATACAGGTGGAATTATATAGTTTTTGTCTTTCTGGAATTGACTTGTTTCACTTTATGTAATGTCTCCAGAGTTCCCCCATGTTATAACATATGTCAGAATTACTTTCATTTTTTGGGATGAATAATATTTCATTTTGTGTATATACCACATTTCTTTTAGCTGTTAGTCTGCTGATAGACACTGGATTGCTTCTTTTGGCTATTGTAAATAATACTATGTCCCTCAATTTTTTTTAATATTTATTTTTTTATTTATAGGTGGATACAATCTTTATTTTATTATTATTGTTTTTAATGTGGTGCTGAGGATCGAACCCAGTGCCTCATGCATGCTAGGCAAGTGTCTGCCTCTGAGTCACAACCCCAGCTTATGTCCCTCAATTTTTAAGAACCGTTTATAATGTTATGGATATTAGTCCCTTGTCTACAGTACATGTAGTGAGTATTTTCTGCCAGTTTGTCAATTGTCTTTTTCCTGATTTTTGTTACATACAAATTTAAAAATTGTTTATGTAGCTAAACTTTCTTTTTGGTGCTGGGGATTGAACCCAGTGACACTTTCACACTGAGCTACATCCCCTGCCCTTTTTATTTTGAGACAGGGTCTCACTAAGTTGCTTAGGGCCTCACTGAGTAGCTGAGGCTGGCCTCAAACTTGCCATCCTCCTATTTCCTCTTCTAGAGTCACTGGGATTATAGGTGTGTGCCACAGCACCTGGTTTATACAATCTAATTTATTAATATTTTAGTATATTTGAATTTCAAATCATACTGAGAAAGGCTTTTCTTATACTAATATTAAAAAGAAGTTTGCCCATGTTTCCTTTGGTATTAGTAAGGTTTCAATCCCCCCCCCCCCACCACCACCACACACACACCATTAGATCCCTAATTCATTTGTAACTTATTCTTACGTACAGTAGAGACTCACGGATGGGTCTTGCTTTTTTTTTTTTTTTTTAATAACCTGCTTTCTCAGAAACTAACCAGTGTCTTACAAGAATTACATTAACCTCTTCTGAGGATATACCTACCACAAGGTTCTACCGTCTCTCAGTGTTGCTGTACTGAGAACCAATTCTTCAGCACATGAACCTTTGGGAGACACACTTGAACCAAATCCAAGTCATAACAAATGAGTGCTTGAGTTTTAATTCTTAACCTAGTCTCTGTCTATGCATGCAGCAGTACGATGGGTCAAATTATTAAGGTTTTATATAATATATTTTAATATCTGGGAAGTTTAATCCCCTCTTAGAATTTTTTACTTTCCACTGTTTTCCTAGGTAGTCTCAAATTTTTGTTTTTTTCCCTATGAATTTCATTATCAACTTGCCTGTTATCTTACTGGTATTTTGGGGGGGGGTTATATTGAGTTTATACATTAACTTGGGGAGAGCTGACATCTTTATATTGTTGAGTCCTACCCAAGCACAAGGAGTAATTCCATTTGTTCAAGCTCACTCTAAGCATTCTTCAGTAGTGTTTAAAAATTTTCCTTACATAGGTTGCAGATTTATTTATTCATTAATTTCTTTTCTTTTTTTCTTTCTTTCTGGGGATTGAACCCAGGACCTTGTGCACGCGAGGCAAATACTCTACCAACTCAGCTATATCCCTAGCCCAGGTTGCAGATTTCTCCTCTTCCCTTCCCCTGGTTCCTTTCCACTTCTCTACTAGTCTCCCTTCTATTTTCACAAGATCCTTCCTGACTTTTATTTTTCCCTCTAGCTCCCACATGTGAGAGAAAACATACAATGCTTGACTTTCTAAGTCTGTCTTATTTTGCTTAACACAATGCTCCAAGTTTCATTCATTTTCCTGCAAATGACATAATTTCACTCTTCATGTCTGAATAAAACTCCATTGTGTATACATATGCCATATTTTTTTTTTATAGCAGATCCAGGGGAAAGCCCCATTTTCTTTTTTTTTAAAATTTATTCTAATTTGTCATATGCAGAATGCATTTCAATTCATATTACATATATAGAGCACAATTTTCATATCTCTGGTTGTACACAATGTAGATTCACACCATTTGTGTCTGCATACATGTACTGAGGACAATGATGTCCATCTCTATATGCCGTATTTTCTTAATTCATCTGTCAGTGGATACCTAGGCTGGTTCCATGATTTGGCTAATGTGAATTACATTGCTATAAATATGAGTATGTATTTATTGCTATAGTATGCTGACTTTAATTCTCTGGATAAATACTGAGGAGTGATATAGCTGGGTCATATGTTGGTTTCATTCCTAGTCTCATTTTAATCATTTTTAAACAGTTTAGTAACATTAAGTGTAGATATGATGTTGTGTACCCACCACCACTGTTTCCAGAAAAATTTCATCACTCCAAATAGAACCCATTAGGCAGTAGCTCCTGATTTCTACCTCTACATAGCCACTGATAACCTCTATTTTATTTTTAGCCTGTACAAATTTACTTATTCTAAGTATGTTGTATAAGGGGACTCATACATTTCTCCTTTTGTATCCAGCTTATTTTCCTTAGCAAAATGTTTTAAGAGTTAATACATATTGCAGCATATGTCAGAATTTCATTTTTTAATGAATTAATATTTCCTTGTATATGTACACCACATTCTGTTTGGGCATTCGTCTGTTGTTGGATATTTGATTGTGTCTACCTTTTGGCAATTGTTAAAAATGCTGCAATGAACATGAATATACAAATATCTGCTTGATCCATGTTTTTTTTTTCAGGTATATACCATGAGTGGACTCACTGTATTTTGTGGTAATTCTATACTTAACCTTTTTTTCAAACTTTATTTTATGTGGTTGTTTTTTTATGTGGTGCTGAGGATCAAACTCAGTGCCTCGCATGTGCTAGGCAAGCACTCTACCACTGAGCCACAACCCCAACCCCTATACTTAACTTTTTAAGGAACTACCATCCTGTTTTTCACAGCAGCTGTAGCAGTTTATATTCTTACTAGTGGTGCAGGATGGTTCCAGTTTTTTTACATCCTTACTATTGTTATTTTTTGTTTTATCTATTTGTTTGATTTTTAGCTACCCTAATGGATATGAAGTGGTGTTTCATTGTGGTGGTTTTGATTTACATCATTGCCCAATTATTCAGTTGTTCGGTCTGTCCTGGGAGGGCCATCATCTGTCAACTCTGAGAATCAGCCTTTATACCCATGTGGTCCTAAGAAGAGAGAGTGAGATTGACCCGGGAAGGCATAGGCTCACTTAGCACAATCCTGGTAGTTGTTGGGTGCTGAGGCAGGAAGTAGGTGAGCTGTTATTCTTTGGGAGTAGGTTGGGCCCCTACATGATGGCTTTATTAATGTAATGCTCTGCCTCCATGTACACAGGTCCTGCCAATGCCGCATAGAGACATGATCCTGCATCCATCCCTGGGATCTTCTCTTATTTTTCCCCATGAGGATTCATTTGGCATCTAGAGAGACTTTCTGAGTCCCAGAAAACCTTTATTGTTATTGAGCAACACACAGCCTCCTACCTAATAGTTGCTGTCACTTTCAAACCACTCAAAAGGTACATCTGACCTTTTGAGACTGGTTTGAAAGGCCTGTGACTAGATGTGAATGTCATTTGTTGACAGGGGAACAGAGACAGGCTGGTTGACTAGTTTCATTTGGCTAAAAGTTGAGAGTTTCCAAGAACATGGCATGACACAGTGAATCCCAGGTGAGCTCCTTACCAGTGTAGTCAGGCCATTGTCCCCATTTTATGCACAAGACTGTGCACACAAAGACTGGTGAAGGATCAGGGTCTCAAACATCTTGAGATAGAACCTAGTTATGCTTTAAAATCTTCCCATTCCTAATCCAGTGCCCTTTCAAATTTTCTTCTTAAAATTTTAGGTATAGGCAGGACAGTCAATTTTTATAACATGGTAGTGGTAGAAAAAAATTAACCAATGGATAGTTATTGAGTACCTGTTTGAAAGTGAGAGCAACTATTAGGTAGAAGGCTGTGTGTTGCTCAATAACAATAAAGGTTTTCTGGGATTCAGTACACAGAGCCCAATGGATGAGTGTGAGAGAACGGCCATGTGGGATCCAGCAGTGCCTGGACTCTGCCTGCTGGGAGTCATCAAGGAGGCTTGTGCGGCTGGTCTGCACCTTGGGCTGTGCCCCTCTTTGAGGATGATCAGAATCTAGTAGATACTTTATGGGGAGTAGTGTCTTTGAAATATGTTCACATTTCATCCTAATTGGAAATTTTCTATTCCATAATTGCTAGTTCAGGCTTTTCCCCCCCAGTTGTGGTAAAAAATATAACAAAATTTACCATTTTTAACCATTTTTCACATGTACAGTTTGTGGCATTAAATATATTCATATTGTGTGCAGTCATTACCACCATCTATTTCCAGAACTCTCTTCATTTTGCAAAACTGAAATTCTGTCCACATTAAATACTAACTCTATTGCCATTCCCCTAGGGTTGGCAAACACCATTCTTCTTTCTGTCTCTGTGAATTTGTCTATTCTAGAATCAGACACTATTTTTTCTTTTATGTCTGATATTGATTGATTGTAATGTTGGGAGTTAAAAACCTAGGGCCTTGTGCATGCTAGGCAAGTGCTGTACCACTGAGCCACATCTCTAAATAATAATATTTTCAAGGTTCATTCTTCTTGTAGTAGGTGTCAGAATTCCATTCCTTTTTAAGAATAAATAATATTCCATTGTTAGTATATATCATATTTTGTTTAGCCATTCATATGTTGATGAACACTTGGTTTACTTCCACATTTTGGCTGTGGTACTATGTGCAAATAACTCAAGTCCCTGCTTTCAGTTCTTTTGGGTATATACCCAGAAGTGGGATTGCTGCATTACACGTTAATTCTATGTTTAATTTTTTGAGGAGTTACCATACTCTTTTCCATATCACATACACCAGCAGTGCACCTGGGCTCCAATTTCTCTGTATTTTTTCAAATACTTGTTATTTTCTGGTTTTGTTTTGATAATAGTCTGGATATAGCCTTGTAATGCTGTGTTTTCTATTTTTTTTTCCCCATGGTAGTCACGATGATCATCATGGCATAGCTTATGGTAATGCAGCAGTTTTAATCAGCAGCATTCTTAATTCTTAATGTAGAACTAACCTAGCTATTAGCCTTTGAAAGGTTAGTGTCCTTTGTCTGCAAAAAAGACATACTTCCTTCCTTGCAAGAACCCTTGGAGAAGTCATAGCTGTGGCACAAGCCAGTACTAGAAGTTATTGCTATAAGCACTGTTGGTGGTGGTGGTTTTCTTTTATAAAAGTGGAGGGCTGGAGTTGTGGCTCAGCGGTAGAGCGCTCCCCTAGCACATGTGAGGCCCTGGGTTCGATCCTAAGCACCACATAAGAAATAAAATAAAGGTATTGTGTCCATCTACAACTAAAAAATAAATATTTAAATTAAAAAAAAGTGGAGTACATTAAGAGCTTTTTTCAAGGTGTAATTCACCAATTATGTGGTTCTTCTATTTAAAGTATACAATTCAATGTGCTTTTTTAAAAAATATTTTTTTAGATGTTGATGGACTTTTATTTTATTCAGTTATTTATATGTGGTGCTGAAAATCGAACCCAGTACCCCACACGTTAGGCAAGTGCTCTACCACTGAGCTATAACCCCAGCCTTTCAGTGTGCTTTTTAGTGTATTAACAGAATTGTAATCATCACCATAAATCAATTTTAGAATATTTTCATCACCCCAGAAAAATAATCCTGAACCCATTAGTAGGCAGTTCATCTTAGTCTGAAACTGGGTAATTAATAAAAGAAAGAGTTTTATTTTGGCTACAGTTCTGGAGACTGAGAAGTCTAAGATTGGGCAGCTACATATGGTGAGGGCCTTATCCTGCTTCAACACATTTGGAGAGTGAAAGGGCAAGCAGTTGTGTCAAAGAGACAAAACAAAGAGGGCAGCCACACTTTCTAACACCTCACTTCTAACTAAACCAGAAGCAGAAAAGGGAACTCACTCCCTACTCCTGCTAGAAAGGTGTTAATTTTTCTTAAGGACTTAATCACCTCTTAAAGGCCCTATCTCCTCTTAAACTGTTAAATTAGGGACCAAATTTCAACATGAATTATGGAGGGAATAAATAATATTCAAACTATAGCACTCCCCAGTTGTCCTTTCCCTTAGCCAACTAATTACTTTACCTATTCTGGGCATTTCATGTTGTGACATATATCAGAATTTTATTCTTATGACTGAATAATAGCTTTGTGTTTTGTGACCAAAGTAACTGTCAAGAACAACTTAGAAGAGGAAAGGTTTATTTGGCTCATGGTTAGGAGGTTCAGTTTTTGGTCATCTAACTCCATTGCTCTGGGCCTGAGGTGAGGCAGAACATCATGGTGGAAGGACATAGCAACCTGGAAGCCGAGAGAGCAAAGGGACAAAATTCAAACCCCAAAGACATGCCCCCTTCCTCCAGCCACACCCTAACTGCCTACATTACCATTTAGTTAGTCCATTCAAATTATTAATTCATCAAATGGATGAATTCATAATTAGGTTATGGTTCTCATGATCTGATCATTTTACTTCCTGTATCAACAGAGAAACTTTTGGGGGACACCTGATATCCCTATCATAACAACTCCCTTGTGTGGAAATGACATTTTATTTGTTCACTCATCAGTTGGTGGACATTGGGTTATTAACCTTTTAGCTGTTATGAATAATACTTCTATGAACATTCACGAGCAAGTTTTGATTTGAACCTGTTTTTATTTCTCTTGATTAGATACATAGGAGTGTCATTTATAGATTGTATGCTAACTCTGTTTAACATTTTGGGAACTGCCAGTGTCTTTGTCTTTTCTACAGGATATGCACTACTTTATTTATTTATTTTTCTTTTCAAATATTTTAAAAAATATTTATCCTTTAGTTTTAAGTGGACACAACATCTTTATTTTACATTTATGTGGTGCTGAGGATCATACCCAGTGCCCCAAGCATGCTAGGCGAGCACTCTACCACTGAGCCACAACCCCAGCCCAGGAGATGCATTATTTTACATGCCCAGCAACAATGTGTGTGGTTCTAATTTCTCCACATCCTTGCCAATCAGTTTCATACTGGTCTGCCTACTTCTAATTATCCCCCTCCTATGTTTCTGAAACATAGATGAACCCCTAGAACTATAAAATTTTGGGCTCTTCCTGGGCCCTCTCACAGTTTGTTGTATTTTCTCTCTAGATTTGTGGATAGTCATAGCCTCTGCCAGTGATGGGAAGTTATACCTTGTGTTGGTGCTGAATCTCCCTGAATATGGTAAGGAATAAGGCCTGTGTTGCTGGCACCAGTGTTTAATAACTCTTGGGGGTGAGATCCATTTTCCTGGTAGACTCTGAAGGCTCAGACTGCGGGGCAGACTCCTCCTAGGAGGGCCTTGGTACATTTGAGGGTGTGGGTGCTTGACTGGTTATTGAAGTTGCTTGCAGAATCACTGTTGTTGGAAAATCACAGTGAATATGTTTTGTTGGAATTGTTATTCTGATACCTGGGTCTTCCACTATGTTGAGCTGATGCTGGGGTGCCTATCCTCTGTTCCTTTTGCAATACACAGTACCCAGGCTGGGCTTCCCATGTAGACTGGCATGTTCCAATCCTTATTTTCTTCCTAGATGGTCCGTTGTTTATAATTTATTACCTCTGTAATTTTTCAAGGTAGAATATATTATATGTTGGTGCGGAATTGTATTCATCTGAAAGCAACACTTCTCTTCCTCTAAACTTGTTTCTAGATCCGAATTGCAGCCTTAAATGCTAGCTCCACAGTTGAGGATGATCATGAAGGGAATTTTAAAAGTCACAAAACCCAGACGAAGGAGGCTCAGGTACGTAATCCAAAATCATCTTCCTCTGCTTCTTGTTTCTATAAATGGAACCTCATTTTAAATGCATTCAGACATCTCCTTAATGAGATTTTAGGAGGAAATTCCATTGTTGAACATGGCTAGTTCTGTATCTCTTGTTAAATCTGTTTTACTTGAGTATTCTGTGAGTGTATATGAAGTCCCATTCAGCACCAGGGCTACTTTTCCAGTTGGGGCCAGCTCTCTATGTAGCCCTCATAGTTGGCATACCCAGAGAATGGTAGAATATTTTTGGTAAGTGGTACTACAAGATTCCCTAGTGTGTTGCTCTTACTTTATAATGTAATGAAACCCTTGAGGGAAGCTGCCTTGTTGGGGATCTCACTGTAGGTTAGTTGGACAGCCAGGTCCAACTTTGATTTTCTGTATATTGGTTACTCTTCTCTACTGGTAACTCTCCCATTTTAGCTGGCCTTCTTTCTTTTCTTATCCATTTTCTCCCTCCTTTTTTCCTCCATCCCTCTATCTATCCACCTGTGCTCTACCCTAATTTAACAAGGTTTGGTTTTTGTCTTTGTTTTCCTTAGGACATATGTCCCCTGCCTTCTTTTATGGGAAAAACCAGGACAGTTCCAGAGCCCTCTCAGAAATCTACTAGTCAGCTATCTCTGGTTGGCAAGGGATGTCAGTGGGTAGATTGGGAGTGTTGGAGGAGACTCTCACTCTTTTAGGCATTGATCAGGCTAGTACAGATTGTTTGGTAGAAAGCAGTGGAGGGCTAGGGGTGTGGCTTAGTGGTAGAGTATATGCTAGTATGTGTGAGGCCCTGGGTTCAATCCCCAACACACACACACATACACACACACACACACACACACACACAAAGCAGTTAAGCAGTGAAGGAAACTATTTATGCCAAATTATTTTTTCACACAACAATTATCTGACCTCAGATGTCTGGACTGGACTGTTTTTTGTCTATACCATCCAATTCTCCAGATACCAACTAGGTATCCCACAATTTAGTCAATTCTAATGCTAACTACACTGAATTAGGGTGAGACTTCACAAGTTTAATGGCTCAGTCCTGCTAGACTTCCCTCACTTCAGATGCCAGTTGCAAGTACTGAGTGCCAGTATAGGTACATTTCAGGTGTCTTGGCTATAAAGTCAGAAATTCTTATCCCCTGCCTGTTTTAGGTTCAGTAATTTGCTAGTGTGGCTTACAGAACTCAAGAAAGCACTTTAATTACATTTATCAGTTTATTAGAAATGATATAATTCAGGAAGAGCCAGATGGAAGAGATGAGCATAGACATAGGGGGTGGTGGGTACACAGAGCTTCCATACCCTCTCTGGTGTGCCACCCTTCTAGCACCAACTCAGAAATTCTCCAAGCCCCATCCATTACATAAGTGTGATAGGTTAAAACACTGGTAATCAACTCAATGTCAAGACTCTCTTAGAGGTGAGGTGGGGAAACTGAAAGTTTCAACTCTCTAATCATGATTGGTTCCTCTGGCCACCAGCCTAGTCCTGCAGCTATCTAGTGAACCCCAACAACCTATAACCTCATGAACATAAACTCAAATATGATTGAAAGGGTCTTGTTATGAATAATAAAAGGTACTCATATTATCCTTGTCACCCAGGAAATACCAAGGGTTTTGTTTATTTGGTTTTTTTAAATATTTTTTTTTTAGCTGTCAATGAACCTTTATTTTTATATATATATATATGCATGCAGTGCTAAGGATCAAACCCAGTGCCTCACACATACTAGGCAAGCACTCTGTCACCAAGCCACAACCCCAACCCTATTTATTTGTTTTTATTTTTATTTATTTATTTATTTTTGATGATGGTTCAGAGAAGACTTTATTTATGGATTTATTTTGTAGTGCTAGGGAATGAACCCAAGGACTCTTGCCATACTAGGCAAGCACACACTCTTGCACTTCCAAGGATTTCAGAAGTTTCAGTTCAAAAATCAGGGACAAAGACTAAACATGTATTTCTTTTAGTGTGATACATAGTCTCTTTAATTCTCTGGGTTACTCAGGGCCCTGTGTCCACTTTTCCAGTTTTACCCAGAAAGGGCCACTGGGCCTATATCTTGGCATTTCTGATTCCGTGTCCCAGCTTTCTATGTTGTCTTTGCCATTGCTTAGACTTGGTAATGTTTCCATTACTCATGTCTCCTTGTTGGGAAGGGGTGCTTATAAGGAGTTTTTATCCAGTGATTAGTGCCTGGGAGATTGTAGTTCTACTGTTTTTGTTGTTGTTGCTGTTTGTTTGTTTGTTTGTTTTAACACTAGAGAGTGCAGCTGCTGACAATGAACATGGACATGATTATAACTTCCTTTATACACATTTTTGGTTTAAGAAGGACAAACCTTTGTGTTTTATGACAACATCTCCTGTCTTGGTTTGTAGGAAGCAGAGGCTTTTGCCTTGTATCACAAAGCTCTGGATCTGCAGAAACATGACCGATTTGAGGAGTCTGCCAAAGCCTACCATGAGCTTCTGGAGGCACGCCTGCTGCGGGAGGTAAGGAACTTGCAGGCTAGGCAGTGAGCTATGGTGGGTAGCACCTGGACTGTGAAGCTGGATGTTACCTTTGTGTTCTCATTTCTTGTCCTTGAAAACAGTATTGCACCTATGAGCCCCCCCGTTTTCTCCACCTGTAGAGTACCTACTTCATTGGATTGTTGAGAGGGTTGAGTGATTCCAGTTCAAGTGCCCATTATTATTTCACAGCCACTCTGCCCAGTAGGTGGGGGTATTGTTCCCATTTACAAATGTGAAAACTTGTGGCTTAGTGAGGTATCAATGGCTCAGAGCCACTCATGTAAATGAAGTATTAGGGTAGGATTCGATCCCAGCTTTTCTGATACATAATGATCCTTTGGGAAGCATATATGGGCAGATGCCATTTGGGTGATAGACCATGAGTCTGTGTGAGAACATTATGTACTTTTTTTTAGATGGAGTTTCACTATGTTGTTCAGGCAAGACTCCTGGGTTCAAGTTATCTCTTTGCCCCTGCCTTCTGGAATGCCAGAAAAGGGTAGGTAGGAAGAACTGGTGCTAGTGTAGGGACCATGCTGTCAGTTACACCTCAAGTTTACTGAGTCATGAAGATGTCACATGAGGTTTGGAAATTGGTTTCAACCTGAAATCGACTTAGATAGGTTTGTATTTCATTAGGAATAAAAGTTTTTGCTTTCAGGTACCTAAACTGACTCAAGAGCCCATAGTGTGTTGAGGGGCTGGGGCTGTAGCTCCATAGCTTGCATTCAGGAAGCAAACAGACTCTACAGGCATATTCAAGACCACACATTTTTTTTTTTTTCTTTCAGTTAAGCAGAGTCCCTTACACCTCCAGGAAGGCAGATGCTTATGTCTTAAAACCCTTGTTTTAAGGGTTGTCAGGATTCTTTGGTTGTTTGTTATGTTGTTTTAGAATTAAAGGTATGGGAAATGTGGCCTGCCCTTCTCTCATTAGTAGGAAGTAAGAGAGGGCCCAGGGAGGGAAAATAATTTAATCCATATTACTAAACTTTAGTATGGGTCAGACACTGGGCTCATTTCAAGAGTGGGTCTTCCTTCTCAGCCCTTGGTTGAGTAGATCTCAGAAGGAAACAGGTAAGACTGAGCAGGCATTCTAAGTACAGAGCTAATGCCAGATAGGTACAAGGTAGGAAGGCTTTAACTTAAGGGCACTGGCTCTGTGTTAACCTTGTAGTCATACATGTGTATATCATTTTAGCACCTTTCCCCTTTGCTTATAAAAGTAAAACATGATCATTGTAAACAATTGAAAAGTATAAAAGATATACAAAAAAGTTTTTTTATACTTATATGCATTGGTATACTTAATATTAAACTAAATTGGGTAATTATAATTCACAAATCATTGACATGATTAGGCCCTGGACCACAGCTGATTCCTAAGAAGTATATAGCCTAGCTGGTGGCATCACAGAGAGGCTTCTTAGGGTGAACCTTTTAAGGAATATAGAGAGTGGTGCTGGATATAGGTGGTCATTGGGTGGAAGTCAGTTAAGAGTGCGTCTGCTGTTGCTATTTAGTCTGTGAAGTAGACTCACACTATTTTTGTTCATACTAATTTTTTTGAAGAATTCTATATTTTGAGGAGTAAAAGATACTTGAGACCTAGCCCTGGTCAGCTGGTTCTTGGGGACCTTCTTACAGTCTAAGCCAGACAACGGTAGAATATGAATGTATGGGTTTTGCTTTGAGTTTTCAGTCTTGATGGAATTCCTTAAGAACTCCAAGTTAGGTTTCTTGGATTAGTCAAGGGTTGCTTCCTGAGGATGGTATGTCCTCAGGTCTTGCTTATTCTGAACATGAAGAGTAGTGTGTTGGGCTGGGGATGTGGCTCAAGCGGTAGCGCGCTCGCCTGGCATGCGTGCTGCCCGGGTTCGATCCTCAGCACCACATACAAACAAAAGATGTTGTGTCCGCTGAAAACTAAAAAATAAATATTTAAAAAAAAAATTCTCTCTCTCTCTCTTTAAAAAAAAAAAAGAGTAGTGTGTTGAGGGGCTGGGGCTGTAGCTCAGTGGCAGAGCGCTTGCCTAGCATGTGTGAGGCACTGGGTTCGATCCTTAGCACCATATAAAAATAAAAATAAACAAAGACATTTTTTAAAAAAAAAAGAATAGTGTGTGGAAGCCACTGGTTTCAGGACACAAAACTGTAATATGGACTAGTTCCTGGAAATTGCTTCTTTGTGCCAGTGAGTTTTCTGTTAGAAAATGTTTTTGTCTTTGTCCTATGGGTAGAGTAATAGTTTTCTAATCAGTAATTTCTTAGAAGATATGTTTTCTAAGATTTTTCATAAAGATGTTTACAATATTTATTTTTAAGCTCATGTTTACCTTTGTTATTCAGGCTAGGAATGATTGTCCTTTTGTTACAGAGGTTATAAGACACTATTTAGTTAAAGTAACTTGTGTATGGTCTCATGACAATTTACAAGGTTGGGAGCTCTGTTTCCTAACTCCTAATCCAGGGTTCCTTGGGTTGAAGTTCTAGGTCCTACCTGCTGTCCCAGAAAGTCTCCTTATACTTTGTCCTCCGTCTTCAGTCCTACAGTGGGTAGGACTGGGCTGGCTTACGAATGCTGGTAAATGTTATCATTCAAACTTTGAGCCCTCAGGTGTAGTGATACTGGTTGGGAGGGTTCCCTCTGTCTCTGTTGGTGCCCATACTTTTACAAATTGCCTTATGGTGGTCTTTCTCTCAGTGAAGTTGGAGTTGCTGGGATCTTCTAGGAACACCTATTCTAGCACCTTCATTTTCTAGTGGAGGCTGACACTGAATTGACTCAAGAGCCCATAGAAGAGGCTAGACTGGAAGCCAGGTATCCTGCAGACTATTTGCTGAAACTTTGTTTTAGTCAACTTTTTATCACTGTGACCAAAAGACCTGAGAAGAAAAATGTAGAGGAGGAAAAGTTTCAGAGGTTTCTCACAGTTTCAGAGGTCTTAGTCCATAGATGGCCAACTCTGTTGCTCTGGGCCCAAGGTAAGGCAGAACATTGTGGTGGAAGGGTGTGGAGGAGGAAGGCAGCTTAGGACATGGCAACAGGGAACTAGAGGAAAAGGTGGGAGAGAGGGAGGGAGGGGGAGAAAGAAAGAGAAATATTGCTTAACTGCTTACCAGGGACAAAATATGTTTTCTAAAAGCACAGCCCCCAGTGACATACCTTCTCCAGCCACATCCAACCTGCCTAAGGTTACTGTCCATATCAGTGAATTTAATTCACCACTTAGGTTACACCTCATGATCTCAGTTCACTTCTGAAAATGGTTGCATTGTCTCACACACGAGGTTTTGGGGAGAATCTCATATCTAAACTATAACAAGATTCAAGGCCTAGGCGTCATTTCTTTGCCCCTGTTTCTTTTGTTCACAGGCAGTTTCATCTGGTGATGAGAAAGAGGGATTGAAACACCCTGGGCTGATACTGAAATATTCCACATATAAGAACCTGGCTCAGTTGGCAGCCCAGCGAGAGGATCTGGAGACAGCCATGGAGTTCTACTTGGAGGTGCAGTTTGTTTGTTTGTTTTTTAATATCTTTATTTTATTTTTATGTGGTGCTGAGGATTGAACCCAGGGCTTCACACATGCTAGCCTAGTGCTCTACCGCTGAGCCACAACCCTAGCCCTGGAGGTGCAGTTTTGACAGCTCTTAGTTTTCTCTGTTTTAAAAGCTCTTGCTGAAGGGATGTGGTTGTGGTCTTGTTGGCCAAAAAGAATTTGTAGCAGTGCATCAAAAGCCGTTGTATGTAGTTACTATTAACACCCATTAACTAGAAAGCCCTAGTCAATGGGTGTTAATAGTAACTACATACAGGCCTGGAGAGCAGTGGTGGGGCAAGGGCATGCTTGGATGCAAAGATCTGCATGTGAATTCTTCCTCTGCTACCCAGTACACATGAGACTGTGAGTGAATTGTTTGACCCTCTTGGTCTATACCTGTGTAGTGGAAATAATGAAAAAAGAGGATGGTTGTGAAGATCAAACTTGTTGATATGCATACAAGTATGAAGAACAGAGCTGACAATATACTGTCATAGTAGCATTGCCATTATTTCTATATTACCATTGCTGTATCTGGGTGCATCTCTAATGTGATAATTGGACACCATTCTAATTGCTTTCTAATTGTTGTCTTGCAAGGAAGGTGTCTTTATCCTCATTTCAGTGATAAGGAAACAGGCTCAGGATCATTCTGTTAATCAGTAATGGAGCAGGGATGTGAACTAAAGTCTCTCCAAAGCATATAATCATTCTAGAGTCCCAGAAGACTGCCATATTTTCTTTTCATTCTACTCCTTCCCCTTCTTTTACCTGTTAAATTAACAAAATAGATAAAAAAATGTCCTGAGTTAAATAACTTATAACTTATTATGTGTCATTTCTCTGGCTCTTAAAAAGTGTGACTCTGGGGACTGGCTTTGCTAATCAATTATAAGGCAATCATGCCACTTTTGCCATTTAAGAGGGTAGTTCAATGGCAAGGCTAGAACTTCTTGGGATCTCAGCAACCAAATGTGCATATGCTTCTTCCAGGCAGTAATGTTGGACTCAACAGATGTCAACCTCTGGTATAAAATTGGACATGTGGCCCTGAGACTCATCCGGCTCCCCCTGGCTCGTCATGCTTTTGAGGAAGGGCTGCGGTGCAATCCTGACCACTGGCCTTGCTTGGACAACCTCATCACTGTCCTGTACACCCTCAGTGATTACACAAGTGAGTCAGGCTTTGGTGCTTTCTCCATGTGCTTATATTTTTTGCATCAGAGGAGGGAGGGTGGCTTGGGTATAAGCTGGTAGCCAAAGTTAACACTGACAGGCTTTCTGCCAGACTGTCAAAGAGAATGAAATGTTATTATCTTAATACCCCTAACTTATTATTTTGTCTTTTTAAAAAATATTTATTTATTTATTTTAGTTGTAGTTGGACACAATACCTTTATTCCATTCATTTATTTTTATGGGGTGTTGAGGATCGAACCCAGGTCTCCGCGCATGCTAGGCGAGTGCTCTACCGCTGAGCCACAATCCTAGCCTCCCCCCCACCCTTTTTTTTTTAATGGTACTGGGGATTGAATTCAGGGATGCTCTACCACTGAGCTGTCCTTTTTATGTTTTATTTTTAGACAGGATCTTGCTAATTTGCTCAGGCTGGCCTCAAACTTGGGATCCTTCTGCTTCAGCCCTCCAAGTTACTGGATCATAGTATGCCACAGCCTTCTTGTCTTTCTTGATTTATCAGATGCTTTATAAAAATAAGTCATATTTTCTCTGAGTGATTTTTTTCCATTTGGCTATCTTATTTCATCTGTGCATTGTCCCATCTTTTGTGTCTTAATCAGTTTGGGTTGCTGTAAAAATAAATACTCTAGATGAAGTGGCTTGAAAAATAGAGATTTATCTCTCACAGTTCTGGAGCCTGGAAAGTTTGAAGATCAGTGTGCCAGCAAACTTGGTATCTGATCTTAGCTTTTTCCTTGGTTTGCAGAAGGCCATCTTCTTGGTATATCCCCACATGGCAAAAAAGAGAGAGCTTGAGGGAACTCCAGTCTCTTTCTCTTCTCTAAGAACACCACTGGGTATGGTGGCATATGCCTGTAATCCCAGTGGCTTGGGAGGCTGGGGCAGGAGGATCTCGACTTCAAAGCCAGCCTCAGGAACTTAGTGAGGCTCTAAGCAACTCAGTGAGACCCTCTCTTAAATAAAATACAAAAAAAGGCTGTGCCTCAGTGATTAAGTGCCCCTTGGTTCAATCCCCAGTACCAAAGAAAAACAAAAACCAACCAGAACACCATTCCACTCCCATCATGGGGGATCCACATGCATAACCTCATCTAAACCTATATTACAAAGGCCTCACCTCCAAATACCATCACATGGGGATTAGAGCTTCAACAAATGAATTTTGGAGAGACACAACCATTCAGTCTACAGTATTTTTCCCTGGACCCCCAAAATTCATGTCCTTCTTACATGCAAGAAATACATATTTTATTCCAGCAACCCTCAAACTTGTCTTAGCATCAATTTCAGAAATTCTCATCTAAATCATATATAGGTGAGATGGAATATACAGTTCATCCTGGAGCAAACTTCTTCTCCATTTGTGAACCTGTTAAGCAAGATTAAGTCAAGTACTTCCAAAATATAATGATAGGACAGACATAAACTAGACATTTCCTTCCAAAAGGGAGAAATAGGAAAGAAAGAAGGGTGGTGATAGGTCCAAAACGTATCAAGGCAAATTTCGTTAGGTCAAAAGGCTCAGGAATAATTCTCTTTGGTTTTATGCTCTGCCCTTTAGGCCCTTTGGGGAGAGTGTCACTCCCACAACTCAGTGGTTTGACCCTATGTTTCTTACTTTGTAGGGCCTTATCCCTGAGACCTTGATCTGGGATATCCTGGCTCATGCCAACTGGAGAGATAGCCCACCGTTTAAGGAACAAGCCCTACCTCCTATGGTAGGAGTGGAGGAGTGGCAGCCTAATGACCCTGAAATTATATTCGGGATCCTTCTTCCACTTATTTATATATTTTTGTATTCATTCATTCATTCATTCATTCATGTATCTATCCATATTTTTGCAGTGCCACATATATGCCAAGCCAGTGCTCTACTACTGGGTCATGTCCCCAGCCCCTCTCATTTCCTTTCCTTTTTTTTTTAAAGGATAGCACACATTCATAGCCTTTCTTTATTCCCTCCTGTTTTTTTCTATTCCCTTTATTCCCAACTGGTGGTGTTTCTGCTAGTATAATTCCATTTCTGTTCCTAGCTTCTGCTGAGATAAGTGATTAAGTTGTGGTTCATACATAAATCTTGTTATCAAATGGTTGATTGCCACATACAAGTATTTTCTTCAGAACAAGCTTTTGCAATTTTTGCAATATATATAGGCTGAGAATAATCCAAATCTTTAAGTCCTCATTTCTTTTTGCTAAGTAATTCCCCTTTTAATTCATTGTATTAGTTTGGATTCATTTCTCTCTTCTTGTATTTTACTATACAGTTGTCCTTTGGTGTCTGTGGGTGATTGGTTCTAGTACCTTCCTGGGTAGCAAAATCTGTGGATGCTCAAGTCCCTTATACAAAATAGCATAGTATTGCATATAACCTAGGAACATCCTCCTGTATACTTTAAATCATCTCTAGATTGCTTCTAATACATAATACAATGTAAATGAATAGTGTTATATGGTATTATTTAGGGAATAATGACAAAAGTCAGACACAGTTGTTTTTTTTTTTCAAATATTTTTGGTCTGTAGTTGGTTGAATCTGCCAATACAGAACCTGTGGATATGGAGGGTTAACTAAGCTGTCAAGAAGAACTGTGCTATACTTTAACACTTTGCTTAGGAATCTACTTAGGTAAATATTCAATTTCATTGCTCACTAATTCTCCCTTTTATGAAACACTAGAACAATTCAGCTAAGTGCTTTGCATCTTTATAACATGAATCACTTTTTCTTTGTTGTGTTCTTCATTTCTGCCTGAGACCTCAGCAGAATTGCCCTTAATATCCATATTTCTACTGACATTTTGGATGTAATTATGAACACTTTCTCAACAGCTTCTGGACTTTTTTTCTTTGAGCCCTTACCAGAGTCACCTTTAACAATCCCTTCATGGTAATATGACTTTTACTGGCATGCACCTCAGAACTCTTCAATTTTCTACCCATTACCTAGTTTAAAGCTGCTTATACATTTGTTAGGTATTTGTTATAATAACAACCCATTCCTCAGTGCCCACTTCTGTCTTAGTTCAAACTATTATAACAAAATGATAGATTGGGTGGCTTAGACAATAAACATTTATTTCTCACAGTTCTGGAAGCTGGGAAGTCTTTTCTCCCCTTTCGTTTTAAGAGCCAAATGGCAACAGAATGGAATATGTTGAGAAGTGCAAGGCCTTGCTCACTCTTCTACCTCTAGTTCTTGTTCTCCAGAACCATTTTTTAAAATCTTTTTAATTGAGGCAACACACACACACACACACACAAATAAATAAATAAATAAATAAAATAAAAATAAAGTACATAATGAGGCCCATCATTTTGTGTATGTGAAAATACTTCAATATATGAAACATTTGCTACAACCCAGAAGGCAGGCTACTTAGGTCCTTTCCACTCATTACCACCCCATAAAGCAACTTTGTTCTCTCCCTTTTGTTACAAGAGATTAACTTTGCCAATAATTGAACTTCTTTGCAGTAGAGTCCGAAGTCTTCTCATCCTGGCTTTCTCTGCTTGTCATCCTGTCTGTGAGTACACCCATGTAGGACATAGCAGCCACTAGGTCTTTTTCATTGCTGTGTAGTCTGTACTATTTAACAATTCTATTTGTGGACATTTGGGGTTTCTTTTCCACCTCTGGGCTCTTATGCATAATGCTGTTATAAACATTTCTTATATATATATATCCTTCAGTAGACATATGCACTTGTTCTGAAGTTTCCTCCAATTTTTATCACCAACAGAATATGACAGTTCTATAGTATAACATTTTGACTCTAGCGGTTTTGTCTTTCAGAGGCTTTTAGTTTCTTTTTGTAGTTCCTCCTACAGTTTGGGTACCATCTTCAATTTTCAGCCTTCCTCTCTCAAGCCAACAAGTTTAGTTTTTGTACCTCTCTTTTATGGTAGAAATTATGCTTGGTAAGGTCCTTGTGGGAAAAACCATAATTGGGGGCCTGTACACAGGTTCTCCAGAAATAAAGCCAATTAGATATGCATATACATATATAGAAAAAGATTTATTATAAGGAATTGGCACATGCAATCACGGAAGTTGACAAGTTCCAAGATCTATAGGATGAGGTGGCGAGCTGGAGACCCAGGTGAGCAAGTCCAATGGCCTTCAGCCCCAGAGAATTGATGGTGTAGTTCCTGTCTGTAGGCTAGCAGGCCCAGGAAGAGCTGATATTTTGATCCATTGAGAAGACAAGAAAAAATCAGTGTTCAAGTTTGAAGTCAGGCAGGCAGGAAAAATTCTCTTTTATTTGGAAAGGTCAGCCTTTTTGTTCTACTAAGGCCATTACTTGATTAGATGAGGCCCACTCACATTTGGGAATGCAACCTATTTTATTCCATCCACTGATTTAAAATTTAATTTCATCACAGAAATACACAAAATATTGTTTGACCGAGGTCTGGACATCTTGGTGGTTCAGTCAAATTGACACATAAAGTTAATCATCACAGGGATTGAACTGATTCATATGAGAGCCCCATAAATTTTCCGTTCATTTAATACAAAAAGTAAAAGCAGCATGTTGAATTCATGCTTAATGAGATAAGAAGGCAGGGTGTTGGGTTAAGGCCTATTAACCTCCTCTTGTTTCCTTGAGATTTCTTAGGTCTTCCCTCTGTAGAATGGTAAGCATAATACAGATAGCAAGCTTACCTCACTGCAGCTGATATGCCTGCTAAGAACAAGCACCATCCAGATTCCCAGTTCCTCCCTGGTTTTCTCTCTGGAAGTTTCTGATGGCTACCCTCAGGTCCCACTGTGCTCCCAGAGGAACCATGTTCCTTGTTTACCTGAGGTAGGCATCTTTGGACCAGTTTAGTATATAGCATGCTGGGTGCAGACCCTTTGTATGCCTTCAAAGGCATGGCCCCTGACTAGTGTCATGAGTAGGCTCTTGTGTCTCCTGAATTGGTACACCAGAAGCATATTATTTCCTCCTCTCCCAAGACCTCCATGCTCAGATCACTTCTGCTCTGGCTTTCCTCCTCCTTTTGCTCCAGTTCCTTCTTTTTCTGGTTATTCTTGATAGGAGTGAACTGCAGCCTAACCACATTCAAATTGAGAAGCATAGCAGGGCATGATGGTAGTCCCAGTGCCCAGGCAGAGTGGAGTTGGTACTTTACTGCATCCTTGAGTGCTCACTGGTGAGACCTGGCAACACAGAGTAGCTGGGAACTCAGTGGTACTGTTTGCCAGGGGCTAGTCCCACTTATAAGGGATAAAGACTTTTATAACTCACATTGTAGTTCTGCTTCATGAATCTGTCATCCTATTTGTCTCTAAGCATTAGTTCATCTATTACTGTCTCCAGGCCTGGAGGAGCCAGAATTGGCATAGGCTTTCCAGATCAATGACTTGAGAAAGGTACTTTGATTATATGAAGGAAGTACACATCTTAAATTGTAGACAATAACTTTAAGAATAGTTTTTAAAAGGAAAAGAAGAAATGTTGGAAAATAGAGGTAAATAAAATTTAAAAGAAAAAAATAGTTTTATATGTACAAATGGAATCCCACTATGTAACTTGTTTTTTCCTTTCTCTTTTCGCAATGCTATATTATGGCCTTCTTTCTGGTCATTTTAGCTCATTCTTTGAGCATTTGTACAATGGCTGCTTGGCAACCTAGTGTGTGGATCAGCTGAACATCACTTAACCAGGTCCCTATGGTGGGGCAGAGTAGTTACCAGATTTTTTGAAGGAGGTTTTCCACTTGGCCAATATCTCATCACTGTGAGCCCCATGGTTTTTTTTTTCTGTAGCAATTCCTAGAAGTGGGATTGCAGAGTCAAGGTCCTTTAGAAAGTTCATATAGTTTATCCTCTGCTGGCAGTGTTTGGGTCTGTTCATGTTGGAGTGCCCCATCTATATTACAATATTATAATATACTAATATATGATATTATAATCTTAGAAATCTTTCTTAATGGAATTGGATAAAGTACTGTCTTGCAATTATTATCAAACATTTCTTTGATTCCAGAGTGGGAACATTTTCCTTCTATTAACTGGCAAGACCAGAGTTTCCAAGTGTAGTCTCAAAAGTCCTATTTCTTTCCCTGCCAGCGTGTCTATACTTTATTTGCAAAGCACTGGAGAAGGATTGCAGGTACAGCAAAGGGCTGGTTCTCAAGGAGAAGATCTTCGAGGAACAGCCTTGTCTCCGGAAGGACTCTCTCAGAATGTTCCTCAAATGGTAAGTCTGTGTCATCCCATATGGTTGCATCCCTCCCTGTACAGCTGATAAATAGCAGGAGTGCACCTCATTCTCTCAGGTCCTGAACTCCTAGTAGGTGGAGCCCTGAATTCCAGGGCTTCATCTCCTATAGTGGCCCCTTAACTAATGAGGTTACTCAACCTGCCTTATTTATCTCTCAGCTTGTACCTGAGCTTGGCTCTGCCTTCTCAGGCTGAGGTAAACATAGTTGCTGCTCTCCTTTCCTACTGCCCTGAAAGTTTTCAGTGTTTTTTAGTTGTCTTCTGGATGCTTATGACAGCCTGCTTCCCACCTTATCTCCTTTCTCCTTTCAAGGTTCTGTCTCCAGTACTGCTCAAGTTCAGTGTTCCAAGCATACCTCTGATCTTGTGCTGTTTCTGCCTTGCCTCCAGGATAGAACCCAGCTGCATCATCCAGGAGGTTCTAGCCTGGTCCTCTGGTTTTTCACTCTCACCTCCTGTTTTTCCTCTCAAGCTTCTTTTGTTAGAGTTGCTTCTGGTACCTGATAGATTCCAGGCTTGGCCCTGTTGTGAACCATTCTGTCTCCTCTCTCTGGTTCCCACTGTGTACTAACCTGGTTCTCAAGGAGAAGATCTTCGAGGAATAGCCTTGTCATCTTCCCACCCCTCTGCTTGTCCTGCGGTTGCTCCTCCTTCACATTTCAATTCCCAGTGGTGTTTCTGCCACTTTCTGTGTGCTAGGTGAACCTCCCCCAAACCTCCAGATGAGCCAGCTCCTCTTGCCCTTTTGTATTAGAACTCAACTATTTAGGGATACTGGGGTGTTTTGTTTTGTTTTAATCTGTCCTCCATGAGCTTATGCCTGTGTTCACATCTGTTATGAGGGAACCAAGTCCCTGAGTGGCTGTGTTGGGTAGCCCTGTTGGGATCAGGACAGTCTGTACAGGAGGGCAGTTTTTGTTGGGCCACTTCAAGCAGAGTGTGACTTTGGAAGGGCATCTGAGGCCTCAGCGCCCTACCCTTATTGTATTTGGGGGATACCATTGACTTTGGTGAGTTGGTGTGTCTAATGGTTTTTTTGTTGGGTTGTGCAGTATAGGATAGTTAAATGCTTTTAAATTTTTCTATAAATAATCAAGAGCATGATTTTATTTGCTGTGGCTTTTCAAGGCATTATGATAATATTAATACATACAAAAACCCTTTCTCTGGCTGAGGTTGTGGCTCAGCAGTAGAGCCTAGCACGTGCAAGGCACTGGGTTCGATCCTCAGCACCACATAAAAATAAATAAATAAAATAAAGTTTAAAAAATCCCTTTCTCTTCTCATTTGTGGGTTTTGGAAGGAACAAAGGTTGTTAGTCGTTTCTAGTTATGGGGGTATTAAGAATGCTAGTTACTGTCCATTTGAGGCCAAATTCAAGCGGTTATTTTATATGTGAGAAGAATGGATACAGGCTAAAGGATGTTAACTTAAACACACCCCTCTCTATAAAATTTCAGCCTTGGCTCTAGATTGTAACATTGTAATTTCTCCCTGTTTTACATGTTTTTAGTGACATGTCAATTCATGATGTGTCAGTGAGTGCTGCTGAGACAAAGGCCATCGTAGATGAGGCCCTGGGACTTCGGAAAAAGAGGCAAGCATTGATTGTGCGGGAGAAGGAGCCAGACCTGAAACTGGTGCAGCCAATCCCCTTCTTCACGTAGGTTATCTTGTGTCTCTAGGAACGCTGGGTTGGCTAGTGGACCCTCTGTGGGACACCACGTTGCACAGGAGAGAGAAGTGCCAAGCTTGACCTTGAGCTGATGTCATGGGTAGAGGCTGGGAACCAATGCCAGAAGGCTGGAGACATGTACCTACTCTTGACTACTAAGTAGCAGCTCAGCTCTTTTTCAAGTATGCCCAGTCTTAGTTCCTCTTGGCTCTCACCATTGTTGACCCCAGCCATCTGCCATGTTTCTGTAAGGCCCTATCCAGAGATGAAAAGAAAACTAAAACACTTGCCAGAAGGAAACTGGAAAATCTTGAGTTGATCCCAGGTTTGGAGTTCCCTGGCTGTCAAGTTTGTGCTTTCCTTCCTGCAAGATGGAACTCTGAAGGTCACCCTTGTGAGCCCTATGATATGTGAGAGGCCCTCCCCCATCAAGAAGGGCACACTGGTATTGGGGTAGTTTAGCCCATTTGTGAACTCTGGCATTCAATTTCTGTTTTAAAAAATTCTGACATTGAATCTTAAACCTTTAAATTTAGTATGCCTTGGCATCAATGTTCTATATCCTGCACCTCCCTCCCCGACATATGTACACCTTCCTCAGAGACATTGTCCAGGAGTTCCTTTCCTGGATCAGACACACCGGGATCCGGTTCTGGCACTCCTGCTGTTATTAGCTGGTGACCATTGGGACACTAATTGCTATTCCTTAAAAATCAGGAAAGCAACATCCCTTTAGTAAAAGAACATTAGGAGCTTCTGCTGGGTGAGGAGCAGGAAGGTGCCAGCCCCTGCTTCTACTGTCTCAGGCTACTCCACCTTCAGATGTATTATGCTCAAGATTTTGTCACTTACAACAATGACAAAATGTTAACTATCTCCCTTCACTCCCATGGAAGTTATAGTTCCAAAAGCATCTCTGTTGTCTTTCTGTAGGCCAGTTGACTCTTGTAACAAGGTGCTGACCAGGTGTGGTGGCTCTTTCTTTGCAGGTGGAAGTGCCTTGGAGAGAGCTTGCTGGCTATGTACAACCACCTCACCACCTGTGAGCCCCCACGACCCAGCCTTGGCAAGAGAATTGACCTGTCTGACTACCAGGACCCCAGCCTGCTGCTAGCATCTTCCATGGTGGTGACGCCTGTCAGTGTGATCCAGCAGAGCCCTGTCAACACCAACCCAGCCATAGCTGTGGCTGAGCCTGTGCTCTCCTATACCTCTGTGGCAACAGCTAGCTTCCCACTGCACAGTCCCAGCTTGCTGGATACAGGCACTGCTGTGGGTGAGCAGGCCTCTTGGAGTCCGCTTCTGGAGAGACCCTATTTGCTGACCTCAGCAGGAATGAGAGCATTGGTGTTCCCTGGCCTCTCCAGGGAGATGAGATATGCTGATCCTCATGGCATAAGTGGAAGTGAGAGCCTATCGCCCTGTAGAGGAGCCTATCCGCCTGTCCCCAGGGCCAGCACTTCAGTACTAAAGCCCCTGCAGGGAGGTTGTGAGGCCCTGGGATAGAGTTCCTTGCTCATTGACAGCAACCGGTCTCCCCACCCCAGTTGCTGAGTCACACTTTGTGAAATGGACACTGCCAGATCCCCTCTAGCTTGCTACATGCATTCTGAGTCCTTTGACCTTAGAAAATCAAGTCAGTAAAATCACCACCAAGTGGTAGTATATTTTTGTGTTTTTTTTTTTTCAAAAAAAATTGTTTTAAATTTCTTTGCCATACTGGGCATTGAACCCAGGTACATTCTATCAACTGAGCTACATCCCCAACCCTTTTTAGTATTTTTGTTTTGTTTTTCTTTTTGAGACAGGATCTCAGCTAAGTTGCTGAGGCTGATTTTGAACTTGTGATCCTTCTGCCTCAGCCTTTGAGTAGCTGGGATTATAGACATGCACCACTGTGCCTCACTTATTTTAGTGGTTTTTATTATCTCTGGAGTTATAAAAAATTTTTGACAAAAGCTCCCACAATTTTCCTTAATTTCTCTGTCACTGCAAGAAAGAATGATAGAAATTTTTGAATGAACACATGCCTAGTTGTTTCTAACTTTCTTTCTTAATTATACATGGCTTTCCTCTGCTCTCTGGGTAATTCACACAGTTTTTTTGGTATTTTCGTATCATCCTGTGTTCAGAGGGTCCTGGATAGGGTCAGTATCACTCACTTCATCTACTCCCAGCGAGGGAATAGTAAAGCCTTATTCTCATAAGGCCCCAGAGGGATAAAGGTGCTCTGAGACCTGGCTTGTGGATCTTGTCAACTCAAGAAAAGTGTGAGAGTTAAGGGGTTTTAAATTTATTTTACTGAAGACTCTGTTGTTGAAAAAGAAAGATTTCTTGAATGTCAAAGAAAAATTCAATGCTGATAGTTATAAAACAGGGAAACTAATCGCATCTGTATAGTACATTTTTTTCACCTCTGCTACCTTATAAGGTTTTAATTTGTGTTCTTTGTGAAGGCGATGTTTCTGGGGGAGATAAATCCAAGAAAGGGGTAAAGCGGAAGAAGATTTCAGAAGAGAGTGGAGAGACTGCAAAGCGGAGATCTGCCCGTGTCCGAAACACCAAGTGTAAAAAAGAAGAGAAAGTGGACTTCCAGGAGCTTCTGGTGAAATTCTTGCCATCCAGGTATTGTGCACAATTTTTCTGTTTGACAAAACAGTATATGCACAAACTGCCAACCTATACCCTCAGTAATATTTCTTATTGAATCACCATCCTTTCTTCTGGGTACCTCCTTTGTTTTCCTTTAACATCTGTGCAAATATCCATAGTATACATCATACTGGACCAAGATCTTGGATTTTCTTGCCTCTTCCTGCCTCTGAACTTCCTAAGGTAGAAGGTGTGACTTGTTAATCTTTTGAGGACTGGGTACTTCTAGGGAGCTAAAGACAACACATAATTTTGTTAATCAGCTTTCTGTCACTATGACAGAGTGCCTAAGCTTAAGGGGTTGGGATTATAGCTCAGTGGTAGAGCACTTGCCTAGCACATGTAAGGCACTGGGTTCAATCCTCAGCACCACATTAAAATAAATACCTACATCTATAACTAAAACAATGTTTTTAAAAAATCAGCTTAAAAGGTTTATTATTGGCTCATGATTTCAGAGGTTTTAGTCTGTGGTTGCTTGGACCTTTTATCTTTGGGCCTGTGGTGAGGCATGTCATATTGGAAGCATATGAGACTTACTGCATCCAACTGGTCCCTATCCCTAAAGTGTTCACCGACTCCCAATAGCTCCAATCAGCCATGGAGGGAGCCTTCAATACACAAGTTTTGGGGGGACATTTAAGGTCCAAAACATAACACATGTCCTGTGCACCCACAGATATCCGCTTATTGCTGAGAGCCTGGGGCCACAGTGCCTTACTTAGATGTAAATGCTTGTCAAACCCCATTTGAAAGGACTTCTTTCAGGGAGTGGGTGCTTACTTGATTTTCTCCAGGTTCAGCAATATTCCCTTGTTTTCTGAGAAGGTAGAAGAAGAGCTTGTAAGGTGTTCCTTGGTTTCACTGGTTCTTAGTGTTCCTCAGAGAAACCTAGGGGAGGAGAAAGTGCCAAGTTCTCTAGAGCTGGGAGGGACCTGGGCCCCACTGCTCCCTATATAATAGATATCTCACCAGTCCTACTTTTTTTTTTTGTTCTTACTCGATCACCTTCAGAGGCTTCAAGGCCCTGCATTTCTGAGCCTTCCCAGGGTTTATTGTGCCAGTAAGTAGGCTTCTTGATAACTCCTTTCCTCTACCTTTAGCTGAGTGGAGAAAGCATTTAGTCACTTTAGTCTATCTTTCTGCCTTCTAACATCTGTTTGGCACATCTTTTTTCTGTAGGGCTTCCTTTCATATCTCCTGTATCTTTTTGGGTTCTTAACCTTTCTTATTCCTTCATGGTTACTGGAATGGAGTTTGGGAGGTAACTATTTATGTATAGTATGCCATCTGACCAGGATTTTTCAGCTGTCATTTTGTCTTGCAACAATTTCAGTGGCAATTTCATCAAAGTCCAGAAGGAATAGCCAGAAACTTTAGGAGAATTATAAATCTGTTTTACAGCAGGATTCCTAATTTTACTAACTTGTTGCCTTTCTGTGGTGAAGGTGAAATGCTTCAAATAAAGGTTAATCTCAGCATGCAGTTAATGTGGACCAAGGTGAGGATATAGTTTGTTCTGATAAATTTCTCCTGAGGTATGATACCAAAAGATTTCTCCTTGGAAGAGCTGCAGGATTTAAACTTTGGTAGAGTGACCCCCAACTTCCCCTTAACCATGCTGTTCTACCTTGAGAACTTGCTTCCCAGCCCCCTTTATGTGGAATGGTTTCTACTTTATTTCAGTTGTTGATCTCCTGTAAGGTTTTAGTGTTCGCTTCCTTGAATTTTCAGGCAACAGTATGGAAACTTGCTCAATAGATTCTCTCTGGGAGTGTGCAATAAGTGAGTGAACACATTTACAAGTGTACTGAGTATTTATGCTCTAGAGATGCTGGCTTGAGATAAAGCCACAAAGATAGCCAAGGCATGATACCTGAGAGCAGTTTGAAAGAATGATTTCTCTTGGGAGAGGTCTCTCTAATCCCAAGATTGGGCCAGGCCCAGAGGCCCAGAACCAAGCTCAGAAGGGCCTGATGTACCCGCCACGTTCTCACCCACACACTTTTTTCTTGTTTGCCAGACATCTCCCTCCCTGCAGGGTGTAGAGCATATCTAATTTCATCCAGCCTGTGGCTTTGTGCCTGCTTTTTTGCTAGCCCTTCTCTGTTGTCAGCCTGAATGATTTTGTTCTCTGTTTCAAGCACTCTGTTGTGGTTGGTCCCTATCTAAGTTGATTATATTTGTGCTTTTTGGCTGTTTCTCCTATTAGAAGATAAACTTCCTGCAGGCAGGCTGTATTCTGGCACCTAGTACCATGCTGGGCCCATGGCTGATACAGAGCAATCATCTGTTGATGGATAAATGAATGAGTGAGACCAGACACCAGCTCACAAAATCCTGGAGAGAGGCAGAACCACCTGGAGGCTTGGGACCTTGCCACTCACTTATTTTAGTCTACTTCACCCTGTCTCTGATTTAGTTTTTCTTAATAGGAAAAATTCAGATGCTTATATCAGAATGAGTGATATGACTTTAGTAACTTTGACACATTCCATGCAGGTTAAGAAAGCTGGACCCTGAGGAGGAAGATGATCCCTTTAATAACTATGAAGTCCAATCAGAAGCCAAACTGGAAAACTTCTCAAGCATGGGGCCTCATCGACTGTCCTTTGACTCGGCCACGTTCATGGAATCTGGTAGGAATTAGCAATATGGTTAATCACTGCTGGAAATTCTTCCTCAAATTATCCTATAACCTGCCTATGTTTTATTCTGGGAGGATGGTTTGGGGAGGTTTTTTAAGCTTTGATCAAAGAGCTACCTGAATTTGCTCGGGCCTGAGATCTGTGGCTAACTGGTAGGTCTAATGAAATGTTCAGGCTTATACTTGCTGTGCTCCTTGAAAGCTGTGTGCTCCCTGAAGGCTGAATTCAGTGACTTGGCTTTACAACTTGAATCTATATGATCACAGCTGTTGAATACGTATTATGTGCCAGACACTGTGCAATATTGTATGTGCATTATCTCATTAAGCATACAAAGCAGCATTTGGAAGTCAGCCCTTTTGATGCCCACCTTAGACATGGTGATTATTATTTTTTTTTTTAAGAGAGAGAGAATTTTTTAATATTTATTTTTAGTTTTCAGCAGACACAACATCTTTGTTTGTATGTGGTGCTGAGGATCGAACCCAGGCCGCACGCATGCCAGGCGAGCGCGCTACCGCTTGAGCCACATCCCCAGCCCTAGACATGGTGATTATGAGAGGCTTGCTCACAACTGATGAGGGCTGGAGCTAGGCACTGAACCCCAACAACCTGACCTCAGCACTGCAACTTGATACCATGTTCACCTGAATTGAGTGGTGGAGGAGGGCACAGGTTCTCCTCTTTTAAAGAGAATAGGAGACTGGACATAGGAGGTCCCCTTCATCCAGGTCAGGTTGTTCTCTTTCTCTGGGCAGAGAAGCAGGATGTACATGAGTTCCTACTGGAGAACCTGACCAATGGGGGCATTCTGGAGTTGATGATGCGCTACCTGAAGGGCATGGGCCACAAGTTCCTGCTGAGGTGGCCACCAGGCCTGGCAGAGGTTGTGCTCAGCGTCTACCACAGCTGGAGGAGGCACAGCACCAGCCTGCCCAACCCACTGCTAAGAGACTGCAGCAACAAGCACATCAAGGTCAGGGGCCTCTCTATGGCCAGCATCATAGTGGGACCAGGGGACAGAGACAGAGATCTTCTGTGGGTATATGGCTGATATGTTTAGTCCACTTGTTGCATCTACTTATGTGCCTAAAACCTAGACCCCTAAGGAGTTTGAAGTAGGAAATCGTAGGACTAACCTGGCTTGTGTCCAGAAAGACCTCTAGTGACTGAGTAGTGGATAAACTGGGATAAGAGTAGGTTCAGGGAGCCAGCAGGAGATTGCTGCCAGCTGAGCAATGTTGGTGGCTGATATCAGTGGTGACAGTGGAATCAGGATTCTTTTTTTATTTTTTGTACCAGGGATTAAACTCAGGGGCACTCAACCACTGAGTTGCATTCCCAGCCCTTCTTTGTATTTTATTAGAGACAGGGTCTCACTGAGTTGCTTAGTGCCTCACTGTTGGTGAGGCTGCCTTTGAACTCCAGATCCTCCTACCTCAGCCTTCTGAGCTGCTGGGATCACAGGCGTTTGTCACCATACCTGGCAGAATCAGGATTCTGAAGACAGAACTGACAGGATAAATTGAGTATGGATGTGAGAGAATGTGAGTCATAGCAAGGGCTTCTAGTGTCATTTACTGAGATAAGCAAGTTAGCTGGGTGAAGCTTGAGGACCTTGAACACACAAATTTGACTGTTCAAGGTGTGAGGGACTCACTAATTTTTTTTAACTTGTAGGAAAACAGAAGTACAGAGGCTAAGTAGGTAGCTTAGGGAAGTGGTGGAGCCTCCAGCAGTTGTACGGAGTCTTGTTCAGCCTTGTCTACTAACTGCACTCTGTACCCCAGGCTCCTCCATTAGTTGCCTCCCAGAGCTCAAGGGAGCACAGGATACTCAGGCCTCCTCCCATTGGAGGTGTTATGCAAGTATCAAGGTGGGAGCATGGGGAGCTATTAGGGCCTGCCCATGTAATCTTTCTGGCTGAGGGTCAAGTTTGAGGAACATGTGGATCATCACTCCCTTGCTGGGCAAACCCCACTGCAATACCTCAGGGACTCCCTCCTGGTAGCTTTTGTGCATCAGGCTTTCTGCTAGGAATAGTGTGGAGCAGCAAGAGCCAAGGCTTTGATCTCCAGGCAAACCAAGTTAATTTCTAACAGTGCATACTGGCAGGTACCTCCTTGTCACTGAGTTTCAGCTTCCCTGAGTGCTCTGGGAATGATGCATTGACCTCCCAAGGAACTTTAAAGGCTTCAGTGGATACAGTATCTGGCCTGGCATGTGGCAGGTGAATGACATCCTCTTCTTCAGGATAGTCCCTCAGGACTCTGATGGCAGGTCTTTTGTCCTTCCCAAGTCTTATCTCAGTGTAGATCCATGTGCCTTTTTTATGTCATAGCAAGTAGCCACTGATTAACATTTAGGAAATGGAAAGTAGGTAGAAGAATTATTTTTTTACCCAAAAAGTAAATTTTAGTTTAGTTTCCTCCCTACTCCCCATACTTAGGTGAATCTTTACGACTTTGTTCCTGCCTTTCCTGTGCCTTTCCTGCAGGATATGATGCTTATGTCTCTTTCCTGCATGGAGCTCCAATTGGACCAGTGGCTGTTGACCAAAGGCAGAAGCTCTGCAGGTAGGAGACATCTATGTTCTGTGGTGGGGTGATTTTCTGAACTCTCAGCAGGCTGGAGGAAGCTGAAATGGAGAAGCTGAGTCATGGAATTCATACTTATATTCACAGTGGGCACATTTTCTGGGTTGGCTCATTAAGGTCGCAGACAAGTTCCAAAATCCCAGAGAAATCTCCCTGACTTCAAGGAGTAGTTAGCAGCAGCTCAGCCTTCAGAGCGAGCCATCTGCCTGCCTTAGGTATTCCTCGGGATTAAAGGAAGCAGGATCTCAGTTTTGGAGTGACTGCTCAATGCTTTATGTTTCCGCAGTGAATTTCCCAGGTGATATGGATTATTCTGACTTTTAAACTACCACTTAAACTGGGCACAATGGAGCATGCATACAATTCCAGCTACTTTACAGGATGAGGCAGGAGGCTTACAAGTTTGAGGCCAGCCTGGACAACTTAGCAAGATTCTTTCTCAAAATTAAAAAATTAAAAGGGATGGAGATATAGCTCAGTAGCAGAGCACTTGATCAGAATGTGTGAGGCCCAGGGTTCAGTCTCCAGTACTACAGAAATACATAAATAAATAACAAATTTCCACCTGTAGAATGCAGAGGGGCTTAGAGTACCCAAAAAGACTAAGAGCAGATGTGGTAAAGGCTGAGGGTGACCTCTGGGAGCAGAAGGGCATTTGGATCCTGCATATGAATGTGACTTTCTGGCCTGATGGTTTTCAGTGTCTCCTCGTAACTGCCCTGCTGGTATGGTGAATGGCAGATTTGGGCCTGACTTCCCAGGAACCCACTGCCTGGGTGACCTCCTGCAGTTGTCATTTGCCTCATCCCAGCGTGACCTGTTTGAGGACGGCTGGCTAGAGTTTGTGGTCCGTGTTTATTGGCTGAAGGCTCGTTTCTTGGCACTGCAGGTTGGTTCTCTAGTCAGCTGCTATGTGAGTGCATGCATATATGCATAGTACCTATCTAGGCACTGGGCTTGACATGAAGAAATGGGAATGGTTGGGAATTTTAAGCTTGTCAGAAATCCAAGCATGGCCACCAGTTTGTAAAATACCTCAGCATATCCACAGAACTCTACAAGGGATCTACTGTGCCTCATTTTTATTATTATTATTTTTTCCTGTGCCTCATTGAGCCCTACTCAAGATTGCCTTGGTTGATCTTTATGTTTTCCTGACAAAGCTTTAGCAAGTACATGAATAGAAGCAGTATTTTCTAGAAGGGAATTCTCCACCTATTTTGTGAGAATTCTGGGAAGGCCAGGGTGGATTGGCTGTTACCTACTACCCAGTGCTGGGTGGTACATGGTGCACTGTGGTAGAACAAGCCATAGATTACTAAGGTTGCAGCAGCAGCAGTTCAGTTTGAGGGAAGTATCATTGTTTAATATGAAGAATGTCACTTCTAGAATTAGGGCAGGCCTAGGTTCGAATCCTGGCTCTGCAATATACCTAGCCTTGCCTAAGTATTATTCACTTATAATGAAGGGTTAATGATACTTCTCCTCTTAGAATTGTGGTATGGATCATTCATTTTTTCAAGCATTTAGCAAATATTTGTTGAGCCCCAGCTGTGTGCCAGACCCTTTTAGGGGAGTAGAGCTGTAATTGGATTTAAACTCTGCTCTGAGGGCACCCATTGTCCATTGAGATCAGGAATGTGAAGAACCTGGCACATCATGACAGTTCCCTGACTTTTGCCCCTGTTTCTTGATTTGGTTTTCCTTCTAACTAGGGAGACATGGAGCAGGCTCTGGAGAACTATGACATCTGCACAGAAATGCTCCAGAGTTCCATTGCCATCCAAGCAGAGGCAGGGGCTGAGCAAAGGGACATTGTTATCCGGCTGCCCAACCTCCACAATGACTCCATCGTTTCCCTGGAGGAGGTGAGTAGGAGTTTTTAATATTGTTTTCTTAGTCAAAGATTTATTCTGAGTTGACCGAGTTAGACCAGACTGACCTGTCCCTGAAGAAGAAGAGAACCTCCTGCATGCTAAGTAGGGCTCTTGAAGAGAGAGCAGGAGAGGCCTAGGAGAGGTAGTTCTGGCTGGCCCAGTGGCAGATATGGAAGTTTCTGCTAGCATAATTTAGTTAAATTATGTTCAGTTCCCCTGACTGTGTGTGGTGGCAATTCTAGCAGAGCTAGAGGGAAATGTCAGCTGATGAAGACAATTGTCGATATGCCCATGAGGGTGGAATAGTGGTGCCTAGCACACATGCTAGATAGACTCCACTTAGATGGCACTCTTTTTTTTTTTGTGCAACCTTAGTCCTGTTGCAGTTCCACATCTGTAATGTCCACCTTTTCTGAAAGTAGCCTGTAGACTCTTCAAGGTTGTTTTCAGGGCAAGTCCAGTTCCCTGACTTTTGCCCCTGTTTCTTGATTTGGTTTTCCTTCTAACTAGGGAGACATGGAACAGGCTCTGGAGAACTATGACAGTGCCCTTCTTCCTATGTACTGAAACTGCATCAGGCCATATAAGGAAACAGTTCTATGGGTTAGTTATAAGTGCCTAATCTCTCTAGGTCTGGCAACCTGACACTGTAGTTCTGAAAATCTGGTTTGCTGAACTGTGACCACAAGGTTGTCTTTTTTTTTTTTTTTGTATTGGGGGATTGAACCCAAGGACATTTAACCACTGAGCCACATTCCCAGACCCTTTTTAACAATTTATTTAGAGACAGGATCTTGCTGAATTGCTTAGGGCCTCACTAAGTTGCTGGAGGCTTTGAAGTCACGATCCTCCTGCCTCAGCCTCCTAAGCTGCTGGCATTTACCATTGTGCCAGCCCACAAGGCTGTCTTAACTATTACGGTAGATGCTGTTCTGGAACCCCTCTGCTTCTGTGGTGGTTTTGGGGTTTGGGTATATTTTTTTATTAAAGAACTAAATGACTTGACCTTAATATAAATACTTTAAAAAGCACATATATTTATGTGAACACTCATATTATTTTTTGGCTTGAGTTGAGGGTAGGGGACAACATCTAATTTATCCTCATCTGGATGGGATAAATGGAAACACTGACTAGATTCTGGGAGGGTGTGAAGGGTTTACCATCAGACAACATCTTTGGACCTTTTTCAGATTGATAAGAACCTGAAGTCACTAGAACGGTGCCAGTCCCTGGAGGAGATTCAGCGGCTTTATGAGGCAGGTGACTACAAAGCTGTTGTGCATCTGCTCCGCCCCACTTTGTGCACCAGTGGGTTTGACCGGGCTAAACATCTAGAATTTATGACTTCTATTCCTGAGAGGCCAGCCCAGTTGCTTCTGCTACAGGTTTGTGCTCCCTGTCTGTATTTCTCACCTTTGCTTGTGCATGTGTGTGTTCTCTGGAGGCTCTGAGGTAGCCCTTGAGAACACATACTTAGAAAAGTGGGAGTCGAAACTATTAAACCTGGCTCTATGAAAATGTTAGTCAGAAGATGTTCAAAACTGGGGGAATATTAGAATCTAGGAATGCAGGTTCTAGAGTTCTTTGTGGCTCAAAAACTTTTGTTTTTAATTTAACTTTTTTTATTTGTTTTAATTAGTTATACATAGCCGTATAATGCATTTATGTACTTTAATATATCATACATAGATGGGACATAATTTCTCATTTTTCTGAGTGTACATGTTGTAGAATCACATTGGTCATGCAGTCACATATATACATAAAGTAATAATGTCTGTTTTGTTGTATCCTTTTTATCCCTACGTCCCCTCCCTTCCCTCCCTTCACTTCCCTCTACCTAATCTAAGGTAACTCTGTTCTTCTCTAGTGCCCCCCCTACCTTATTGTGAATTAGCATCTGCATATTAGAGAAAACATTTGGCCTTTATTTTTTTGGGATTGGCTTATTTTGCTCAGCATGATACTCTCCAACTCCATCCATTACTGGCAAATGCCATAATTTCATTCTTTTTTAAAGCTGAGTAATATTCCATTGAAAAACACACACACACACACACACACACACACACACACATATATATCACATTTTCTTTATCCATTCATCTGTTGAAGGACACCTAGGTTGGTTCCATAGTTTAGCTATTGTAAATTGAGCTTCTATAAACATTGATGTGACTTCATTACTTCAGTATGCTGATTTTAAGTCCTTTGGGTATAAATTGAGGAGGGGGATAGTTGTGTCAAATGGTGGTTCCATTACCAGTTTTCTGAGGAATCTCATACTGCTTTCCACAGTGGTTGTACCAATTTGCAATGTATGAGTTTACCTTTCTCCCCATATCCTCATCAATATTTATTGTTGCCTCTATTCTTGATGATTGCCATTTAGAGACTCTGAACTTTTGTATGGCAGAGGAAGAAAGAAATGTCAGAATGTCATCCATCCATCCACCTGTTTATTCATCCATCTTTGCTTTTGTGCTTTTTAACTGTTGAATAGATATAAAATTGATAAAATACCTGTACAGTGTAAAGAATCAAGATAAAATAAAGATCTGTGTACAACTGCATAGTTGAAGAAAAAGAACAGCAACATCTTGTTTGAAGCTGCACATGCCCTCTGGTAACTCCCTTCATACCTCTGTTGTTTAGGAAGAAAATGATTTTGGAACCCGCCAGGGAGCCAGCAGTTGCCTTGGAGAGTTAATTGCTCAACTCTCTGAGCCTCAGTTCCTCATTACTAGGATGGGGATGGCAAGTTTTCTTACCTCAGGCCTGCCCTGAGGATTATGCAAGCTAATGTGTGTTAGAACAGGGCCTGGCACATAGCAGGTACCATGGAGGTGCCTGTGTCATCACTGCCACCAAACTCTATGCCTAATTGGACAGAGGGACAAACATGGACAATAGTAATGTATTTGGTGGCATTGACTGGTCTGGAATCCTGGTCCTTTATGGTTTGTACCACTAATCACATTGTATATATTATATTATTGGATTCTTACCTCTTAATTTGGAAAGAGACAACAGTCTTATCCCAGCTTTTTGTTCAGATTACATGTGGCATTTCAGTCATTAACTTTCTTGAACTAGGAAGGTGCAACTATGGGCAAAAATCAGGCAACAAAGCCCTGGTGAAAAGGGAGGAAAGAGTCGGCTTAGGGAGGGAGAACAGGGAATGGGGAGGCAGACTGTAGATCCTGGCTGAGGAGGTCAGGCAGAACCAAGCTGAGATTAGGAAATGAGATGTATCTGACCTAAGTTATCATAGCAGGCTATTGGGTGGCCCAGCATGGCAGTGTGTGGGAGGGACAGAGGAGTGTTACCCCAGGATGGCTGTGGGGGGAAGAGGCCAGCTCTGTCTGTGTCCCTGTCGGATGTCCCCACTGTTTGGATGTCTTACTCTTGTGGTCATTGTAATCACCTACTGAATGTGGTAGGAAGCTCCACATTCTTTAGGAAGAATTGATGTGGATGGGTGAGTCACTGTTTGAATGGACACTGAATAGTGTTAAGGACTATACCTTAGGACTGTGCCACATGCTATAGAAGCTCCTGAATTTTGTGAATAAGTGATTGCTGATCATTGCTATTTCATGTTGAGAGAGTGTTTTTTTTTTATTCTGATGGGAGTGCTTTTTTGTTTGGTTAGGTTTTTGGTTTTTTTTTTGTTTTTTTTTTTTTTAATTTCAGTTATTCAGAAGACAAAGACTATTATCAACTAACTTTTACAAATAATTGAAGAATGTTGTCTAAGCAATTTCAATGTAGAGGGAATCTTTTGAAGAAAATATGGAATGAAAAATATATGGATTGCATATCTGTCCTCTAAGTTGGATGCTAACAGTAGTTAGGAATGTGGCCCTATAGAATAAGATAAGTACATAAAGTAGGCAGGAAGAACAAAACACCTGAACAGTACATAAACTAGCTCAACAGGCATTTTGGTTGTTTTTTTTTTTTTTTTTTTTGCAGTATTAGGATTAAACCCACATGCTATGCAAGGGCTCTATCACTGAGCTACACTCCCAACCCTAGAGTGCTTATCTACCTAATCTGATATTAATTTTTTTCTATCATATCTTGCAAATATTTTTTGCTAGTATGTTGTTTGCTTGTAAATTGTGATTTTTATTGTTTTCTGTTTGTTTCTACACATAAAAGTTTTGGATTTTTATGTGGTCAGATCTTTCAATGTTTTCAAATGTTTGTGATTTTCTTAATTGTGTTTTTTGTTCATTTTGTTTAAACAGGCTTTTCCAGACTGGGGAAAAAAAATATATACTTATCTACTTGTTTAACACACATGGCTTGATTTCCTTCCTACAGGGTGCCTGGTACTGGACAAGAAGCAGGCAGTTTTGAGGGAGCCTATGTTCTAGAGGGGAGGCAGGCAAGGGATATACCACCAAAGATAAAAAATTTATTTGTCCTTGTTTTCTTCTAGCAATGTTCATCTTTTGTTTTGTAAGTTTACTTACTTCCTTTGATTTCTCTGGAGTTGGGAGTTGAATTTAGAACCCTTGGCCATAAGGGTGGGAGGGTTGTCTCCCAATTTAGGCAAGCTGCTTTTACATCCCTCAGTATAATTTTTTTTCTTGATGAGTTGATTGCTAGATCTGAGTATTTTTGGTTGCTATTTTGAGAAGTATCTTTTTATTGGGTATTATACTTCCTAACTGTACATTGCTGGTTTATAGGAACCCTACTAACTTTTGCCTGTTTTTTTGAATCCAACTGATTACTGAATTACCATTATTTCTGATTGTTTTTTTTACTCATTTTATTTGGATAGACAGTTGTTTTGCTCACAGTCAGTAATAGTTTGAGTTCCACATTTGTTGACACTTAAATTCTTTCTTGTCTTGAGCCCTGGGGATTGTATCATATTAAGGCACTCCTAATGGATTTTTGTCTTGTCCCTAACTTTCACCACAATCTGACTACAGTTTAAGGCCAGAGTCTTTATCTGCCCTTTTATGCTCAGTGATTTGACCAGGAGGAATCAACTCTGGTTTTAGACCCCATAGCTGCACTTCAAAGGTGCTTCTTGCCTCAGTGGCCTCTGGCTTAGCCAGTTTTCTCTAAAGAAACACAGATTCCATTTTCCTAGCAGTTAGGGCTAAGTTTGGGAGGTTTTGATGTTTGTTCAAACATTGCAGCACATTTCAAATGCAGTTTGGGTATTTCTGCTCCTGTCAATGTCACTTCAGAGAGTGGTGGCTACCCATGTCAAGGCAGGAAGGAGCTACTGCTGGGCCTGGGCTGTGGGGATGTCAGATCCCAATGGGGCACCAGGTACAAGCGCTTCCTGCTGGTCCAACAAGTAGTCCGCCAGATCTGTTAATTCACAGACAGACTATATTTCCCCATGTACCAGCCAGTGATAAAAGAACCTAAAATTCCCAGGAGTTTAAATAGGTTGTATTCTAGGGCCCTGGGCAGGGGGGAGCTTTGCAAAAAGTGATGGCTCCCAGAGAGATTTTTAAAATAGAAATAACATTTCTGTGTGATGTCCTGAGAGCTCTTTCATGGGCACATAAACGCATTCACTGAATACTCATGGTACCTCCAAGGGGGTGATGCAGGGCTGAGGCTGAGAAGGACTCAGCACCTTGGCCCTGCCTGCCATTGGGGACGAGGGGCCTCATAGAACAATGACTTCAGGACTGTCTGACCAGTTTCCCTGCTATGGCTTTAGCTCAGGTCCTCCTCTGCTGAAACAGTTCCTCTCCAGCAGCCCGCCCCTCTTCTGCTGAGTCCCCTCCAGAGCTCTGACACTAAAGGGACATGATGCCTTAGGGGAGAGCTGATGGAGCTGTTTGAGTCCCTCAGTTTCATGTTGACCAGTTGCCAACTGTGTGGTCTCATTTCTAGGATCCCACTTTTATAAATGGGGAAAATGAGTCAGAGAGGCAAAGTGCCTTTTTGAAAGTCCCCTGGCTTGTGACAACTATGCTGGCATTGCACATAGGTCACTGTCTTCCCTCTTAGATGCCTGAAGGCTATGTAGACCTGTGTAGGCACTGGGGACCTTTTTCTCTTTTGTACTGTCCCTCATCTCTTTATCTCAGCTCTTCCCGTCTCAGGTTTGAGACCAAGGTGTGCTGAACTTACAGTGCACCTTTCATCTCCCTTTTCCCTGTGCTCAGGACTCCTTGCTCCAGCTGAAGGATCACCAACAGTGTTTTGAATGCTCTGATGTGGCTCTGAACGAAGCTGTCCAACAGATGGTGAATTCAAGTGAGGCTGCAGCCAAGGAGGAGTGGGTAGCCACAGTGACCCAGCTGCTACTGGGCATTGAGCAGGCACTCTCTGCCGACAGCAATGGCAACATCCTGAAGGAATCGTCCTCCACCACTGGCCTTGTCCGGCTCACCAATAACCTCATTCAGGTAACCCCTATTTCCTTCATTCTCTTCCCTGGCTCAGCAAGTGTGTCAATTTAATGCCTCCTTCACTGTGAACTAGGGACCTCAAATAGGATGAATTGCCCTCACTGGCAGACAATTTGGGGATCTGAGATTGTGTGCAAATCTCCCTGGGTCTGGGAATTAGAGTCAATGTAATATTTGGCAGGATGGGATTCTCCCAGACCACCAGTCCTAGAGAGGAGAAAACAGGCTCAGAACAGGGCCTAGTCTGCTTGCAGTGAGCCAGAGGCAGAATGGAGATGAAAGTCTAAGCCTCCTGACTTCCTGTCAGGACTCTCTACCACCCATGTTGCTGTGGCGCTTCTACCTAAAAAGTAACCACAGCACCCCATATCATCCAGGCAGAGAATCTTCCTCTGACCTTATCCATAGGTCTCTTCCCCCAGGCCATTAGCTCAGCTCTCTCCTTAACTTCCACTCAGGCCATCTGCAAATCCTGCCAACCCCACATCCTTTGCATCTCTTTCTTTTGTTTCTCCTTTCATCTTCCTTGTTCTGTCATAGTCTAGGCACTGTCACTTGTTACATGAACTGTGACAGCACAACCCTATGGTGCTTCTTGTCTTTCTACCCTTCCAACCCAACTACCATCCTACCACAGAGGCCTTTTTCCAAAACTGAAATATGAATGTGTTTCTCCCCTTGCTTAAAACCCTTCACATTTCCCTCTGGGTGGTGTGCTGCTCAGGATGCATTGATACTGTCTCTCTCTCTCCTCTTCTATTTCCTTGGCAGCAGCCATTCTGGGCCACCCCTAGGGCCCCATCTATATGCCTGCCCTCTCTAGGTATTGGGCATAGCCATTCACCTGGAAACTTCCTTTAAAGGGCTCACCTCTGCCTGCCCTACCCCTCCTTTGCAACTCCCTGTTGCTGCATTTGCTCTCATTAGCATTCAGGTAGCTTATCCATAGGTCTCTTCCCCCAGGCCGTTAGCTCATCATGCCACATTCAGTAACTGCACATGGCATGATGAAGAATGCTGTGACTTGATCATTGGGTACTCTGAGACTTTGATGCGTTACTGGAGTGCTACTAGGTCAGTGTTCTCACACCAGAGTTGTGAGGGTGGGAAGGCCTCATGCCCCAGATCTCCTAGTGGGCACTGCAATGGAGACTTATTTCAGGTGGGTGGGGAATAGAACTGGCCACATTCTGATACCCCTGGTGCCCCCTGCCAGGTCATCGACTGTAGCATGGCTGTGCAGGAAGAGCCCAAGGAGCCCCATGTCTCCTCAGTGCTACCCTGGATCATCCTGCACAGGATCATCTGGCAGGAAGAGGATACCTTCCGTTCCCTGTGCCACCAGCAGCAGCTTCAGAACCCAGTAGAGGAAGGTGCACTGGCAACAGGTTTGATGGGGCTGGGCCTTGCCCCATGGTGTCCTTGCCCCGACCTCTATCTTAGGGTCTCAAGGCCCTACCCAGGTACTCCGAGTTGGCTTGGGTTTCAGTGTGACAGGATTTCTCACGGCACTTGGAGACAGAAACTTCCCTGTTTCTTCCCTCAGAAAGCTCACTGTGCAGTAAATATGGGAAGCATGAATGTATGATGTGTTGCATGTCTGGTGCATGTGGCAGCATGGAGGGAATGACAGCAAGGCCAGTGCTTTAAGGAGTGCCTTGAAGTGTCTCATACTGCTAGCTCCTTTAATCCCATAGTAGCCCCAGAATGGGAAGCCAAAAACAATGTGGGGCAAGCAAAGGTTCCACATTCTAGCTGTCCTTTCTTGGCTGTGTGATGTGACCTTTGGCAGTTCATATAACCTCAGCTTCTATTTTCCCTTATTTATACTGGGAATAATGGCAGCTACCTCAGAGGTTTGTTCCAGGAACAGACTGAAATAAAACCATGAAGCACCATAGCATATTAGAACCTAGAGTGTCATAGGTGCTGAGTAGTAAATAGTCATGAATTGAGAACCTGAAGAAGACAAGCTAGGACCAGTGATGGAGATGGCACTTGAACTATGGTCAATATGGGTAGAAAATGTGCTGAATTAAAGGAACTATATCACAACACCTAGTTGACACCTAAAGCAATCATTGCTGTAATCCTGCTTTTTTTTTTTCATTTTTTTCTTTTCTTCAGTTTGCTGTCCAGCCTTGGCTTATATACATCTATTTGTTAGTATATATAATACACATTTATATATTTATTTAACTAACTTAAAATTAAGTTTACTGGGAAGTTTTTCCTCAGTTATTTATAAAATAAGAAATGTGGAGAGGAAAGAAACTCATCCCTTTTTCACCTGAACAGAGAAAACTAGAATTAACATGTCTCCTTAATTAATTTATCTCCTTCTACCCTTGTCTCTATAATTTTGTGTACTCCTCAGATATTTCTCAGCTGCTCATTACAGCTCTGAATTAGACTCCACTGGCCTTGACAGGTTTGTGATAAGGGGAGAGAGGTGAGCTTTCTGATTGTGTATTAGGCCAGTGAGATTAGTGAGGTGCCTGAGGCTGCCTGAGGTGGGCTGGGAGGTGAAGCTGAAAACTGATAGAAAAATCCAGAGCAGAAGATGCTAGGGAGGTGGAGCCACAGTGGGCAGTGACTCAGGAGGCCTGGAGTGTGTGGGTTGTATGTGAGGGAGAGCAGACTACAAAGGGCTTTCAGACTTTGTTTTGTAAAGCTATTCCCATTTTTAAAAAATCTTTGTTTTATTTATTTATTTATTGTTTTAATGTGGTGCTGAGGATCAAACCCAATGTCTCATGCATGTGAGGTGAGAGCTCAACCACTGAGTTACAACCCAGCCACCATTTTATTGTCTTGTTTTCATAATACTGATTCCAAGTGCATGCTCTCCTGAGCTCTTCCCCCTGCTGAGTTAGGAACACTGTAATATTTCTTTCTATTTATAGGTCATACTGTGGGGAACACTTCATGTATACCCTTTTTCTTTCGCTCATTTTACTTTTTTAGCATAAATTTCTGGAAATGAACATCTTTAGAGCTCTTGACTAAACAATACCTTTTTATTTTCCAAATAAAATCTTAGTAGTGAAAAAGTAAAAGATTTATAACTATAAATGTTTATTATTTTTCTAAAGATAATACAAGAAGGGCTGGGGATGTGGCTCAAGTGGTAACGCACTTGCCTGGCATGTGCGGGGCGCTGGGTTTGATCCTCAGCACCACATAAAAATAAAATAAAGATGTTGTGTCCACCAAAAACTGAAAAATAAATATTAAAAAAATTCTTTCTCTCTTCTCTTCTCTTAAATTTTTAAGATAATAAAAGATAATACAAGAAAACTTCTATATTGAGATTTTCCCTTTCCCTCAAAATTAATTATGCAAACAAAAACAGTCTTAAAAAAAAAAAAAGAACCTTCTAGGAAGTAGACAAGGAAAGAGGAAGAGTCAATATGCCTCCAATTTTGGAAAGTATGCCAAAGAAAGAGACAAAAATTCTGGGTGGACTGACAGCACACGTGGCTCTGTTCCCTCTGCCCCAATTTAGGTAAACTGAGGAAAGATGGTAAATTGATCAAATTCTGGGAAATATTAATTTTCTCTAATTTGTAGAGAGTGGACTGATAGAGAAGCCCCTCCATATTGCACTGGCTTTAGCAGGCTAAGATGAAGGAAAGAGCTCAGGGATAAAACACTTCTGAATGTGTGGTGAGGCCATTGTCACACACTAAACTCTTAGCAGGAGTGAGGTGGTTTGAGATGCAGAGGTTGCCCACACACATATTGAGCGCTGTAATAAGATTTATTAGGGATTAATATGTGCAAAAAGTAGGACAGGAAGAAGCAGAAGTGGGTGGAGGGAGAAGTCAAATTGTGATGCAGGCCTGACAGAGCCTTGGCCAACCTGGCAGGGAGTTCTGGATGACAGTTGCCCATCAGAACTGTCCTGCCTGAGCTGAGGTAGCCTGGCCTTTATACTCTCATCTCACTTAGTCATTGAATGTGACTACACATTCAGTGAGAAGTGTGTAACTTCAGGTGAGGTGAGTCTCTAGCTCTAGCAGACCCTAAAGGTGAGCAGTGTCTGTCTCTGCAGACATAGAAGGAGAATTAAAATTGTAGCTTTAAGGAGAAGGTTTAGCTAATTCGTCCATGATATATTAGAACTCTGAGTCTAGAGGAATTGCCCAGGCTGACCTTGAGCAGGACAAAAAGAAATGACATGGTAAGTGTACTAACATATTGTAACCACCCCCACAAAGGACTGAGGGAACAAAAAGAAAAGAGTGACTGTAGCCTACCAAAAAAACTGATGTATTCATCCTGGCAGAGAATGTATCTCTAAGGAAGAGAGACAGAATCTCTGTATATGGTTCGTCCAAGAAAATAATTAGAAAATTTGAGCTGATAAACAATGAGGTAAAAAGGAAATTGAAGAACTAAAAGAAAACTCTGCAAACCAAATCTCACTATTATAAATTCAAAAACCCAAATGGCAAGGAGCAGAATGAATATGACCAAAATGAACAAGTGAATGCAGTGAAGAACTCAAAAGCATTGAAAGATGATAGAGGTGGAGAACAGGGATTGGGGTTTAATATAAGGATAAGTAGTGCCCCCAGTGGAAAGACTTAGGCAATGGAACAGGAGGAGCAACCCTCCTAATGTCCAATATAAGATAGTATCTGTAAATGTAGTAAAAATTGAATCTTAAGATTCCAAGTGTACAGTAGATACCAAGAGAAATTAATATATAGCAAGCCACATCAAATACATCCTGGTTAATCATCTACTGAAAGGATAAAGATTATTTTGGTTTCTAAGCTGAATAAGTAATTATCGTCTTCCTGGGATAAAAAATTAGGCTCATTTTAGATTTCTCTATAACTTCAGTCAATGCAGTTGGGTTAATGTATATGTCTGTCCAGTTCCTCAGGAAAAAAATATGTGGCCTAAGATATCTAGCCAAGTTGTTTGTAATTACAGAGATAATGAGACGTTTATAAACAGGAGCTCCAGCTCGCATGAGCACTTCTTAGTCAGAGTGGCTAATTCATAGGAAGGGATTTGTGAGGAGCACTGAGTCCATTTAAAATTGGTGTTGAGAGAAAACAACTGGGCTAAGTGTGGTTGTAGAAAAGAATGGAAATGTTATAAACCTGGAATGGTTATAGAAAACATATGAAACAAAACTGAAAGGTAGGGAGAGGAGGAAGTATTATAAAGTGAATCACTGATCTTATGTAACCCTCACTGATCTATGTAGACCCTCAGAGGATTGGAGTGACTAGCAGAGCACAGTGATACCTGTCACCCCAGCAACTTAGAGGCTGAGGCAGAAGGGTCAAAAGTCGGAGGACAGCCTTGGCAATTTAGCAAGACCCTGTCTCCAAAAAAAAAAAAGTGAAATAGGTCAGTGCCTATTGGGTTTAGAGCAAAAAAAAGAAAAAAATGACTTGCTTAAACTTAATGATGACCTGACCTTTTTTCAAACCAGTGCTTTTACTTTTTTGACTGGTGCTAACCAATAATAAAAAGTACCAAGCAAATCTCAGGAAAGAAAGTTTTTTCTCCTGAGTAATACCTTCTGATATTTTCTGTTCTGATATGTTCTGTCTCAATCCCTTCTAAAAGTGCAAGTCATAAGACACTAATAGATTATGGCCTAGAGTTTCAAAAATAGTGAAGTTCTTTAAGAAACTAATAATAATTCTATTGGTAACCAAATATTTAACTGAAATTCAGGGTTTTTTTCCCCCTTCTGTTTTCCTTTTTTTTTTTTTTTTCCTATAATATTCAGGCATGTCTAAAGATAAGACATTTTAGGAAATGGTACTATGAGTTCCATTATTATAAATTATTTGTCCCAAATGTCAACATTGGTTCATCCTTAGAGGTTGGTATTTTGGTAAATGAAGCATTCCTTCTTTATACTTTCCTGTATGATTTGAATTGCTTTTTGATATGCATGTTTTAGTAAAGCAAATCAAATCATTCTTATTTAAAAACAAGAAAATAAAGGAAAGTAAGAAATTCTGTGGCCACTTTTGTAAAGACAAAAAAGCCCCCAAAGTAGAGAGAGCCTTCAACCTGTGTGCAGTTCTACCTGTTCCTGCTAACTTTGTATCTGTTGGTCTGTTCTTCTCTAGGAATGTCAGAGACGCCCATGCTCCCTTCCTCCCTCATGCTGCTCAACACAGCCCATGAATACTTGGGAAGAAGGTCCTGGTGCTGCAATTCAGATGGGGCTCTGCTACGATTCTATGTGCGTGGTTTCCCCAGGCCATGGGCTATTAGTACAGGGTTGGGATGGGGCTGGGGGGTACCAAGAGGAACAGAGCTGTGTTGGCTCCCTTGAGTTTGCTTGGCCTTTCCATGCAGGAGGGCCCACTGTGCTTCTTTGACTACTCTCTCTATGTGTGTGACTATTGAGACTTGCCAGAAAGGTTCCTATGTTAGTCAGTTTTCCATTATTGTGACAAAATACTTGAGCTAATCATCTTATAAGGAGGAAAGATTTATTTTGGCTCATGGTTTCAGAGGTTTCAGTCCAGAGTCACATGGTCCCATTGCTTTTGGTCCTGTGGCAAGGCGGTACATCATGGCAAGAGCATGTAGTAGAGGAAACCTGTTCATGGCAGCTGAAAAGCAACAAGAAAGATAGGAAAAAGCTGGGGTCCTGAAATCCTCATTAAGAGCATGCCCCTAGTAGCATTTACTCCCACTAGGCCCTGCCTTCTAAAGTTTCTACCACCTTCCAATAGTGCCAATTCATGGGCCTTTAGGTGACAATCAAGATTTAAGCTATAGGGCTTGGAATGTGGCTTAGGGGTAGAGTGCTTGCCTCGCAAGGCAAGGGTTTAATTGAGGCCCTGGGTTTAATCCCCAGCACCATAAAAAAAATTTTTAAAAAATTCTTTTAAAATCCAAACTATAGCAGTTCCCTTGTGCAACTGAGGCTCAGGGAACTATAGACCTGGTTTTAAATAGCAGGTGAATTTAGTTCCACTAGTTATTGCTGATTCTGTTACTAGTTGGACACAAAACTAGGCCATAATAATTTTTTTAAAGTAGTCACTGCATTCACCATTACCACCAAAGTCTTTGAAGTCCTATTTGCCAATACCACTTGTTATGCCAGGTTATAATTGCTCAGTCAATAACTATTAATTTATTCAGTCAGTAATTCTTTAGTGAGCCTCCATAAGCAGACTTCCTTGAACTTGCCAACTGTGATTTATTGGTAGTAGCTCTCTGGGGTTACTGAGGATAAGCAGTATTAACCCCGTCCCCAAAGCTCTCTGTTGAGTGGGAGGCCTGGCAATACCAGACAAGTTACAGAGCATCAGGTATTCTGGATTTGCCAAGGGAGAGGCATCCAACCCAGTCTCTAATGTCTCTTTAAAGTTTTTTTTGGGACATAGCCACATCCACTCATTTACAAATTAACTATGGCTGTGTTTGCAGTACAGTAGCAGAGTCAAGTATATATTACAATCTTTATAGCCCACAAAGCCTGAAATATTTACTGTATGGTCCTTTAAGAATTTTGCCATCCCCTGTTCTTTACCTTCTTTTCAGCAAGCATACCCTCTTTGCAGCTGTAGCCTCCCTTCCTAGTACCTTCCTCCTCTGCTCTATACTCTCCCCATAGTTCATCACCTGGTAGTATGCTATATAATTTGCTTCTTTATTATGTTTGTTGTGTGTCTTCTCCACTGAAATGTAGCTTGTGAAAAAATAGGGAATTTTGTAAGTTGTTTCACGACTGGATCCAAGTGCCTAGTACTGTGCCTGGCACAAATTAGCTTATTATTTTTTTGACGAGGGGATACCAGTGATTGAACTCAGGGGCACTTGGCCGCTGAGCCATATCCCCAGCCCTATTTCGTATTTTATTTAGAGTCAGGATCTCACTGATTTACTTAGCACCTTGCCAGCCTCCTGAGTGGTTGGGATTACATACGTGCACCACTGCTCCTGGCAATACAGAGTAGGTTCTTATTTAATAAATACGTTGAAGGAGATTAAGCATATGTACAGAGCTCATGTATGTGTAGGGCCTTTCAGTTGGCAAAGCATCATGCTGAGGATGTGGAGACTTGGTGAGGAAACCCTCTGGCCCAGGTTCCAGCCCCAGCTCCAGATGGCTGAGTGTCTACCCTACCCTGTGAGCTCCAAGGGCCTGTGTGCTCACCCTGGGATGTCTTTATGCTCCAGGATCATTTTGCGAAGATTTATGCCAGGTGGAATCTGTTTTGATACCCAGGAATTGGCCCCCTTCTTTCTTTCCTCTGACAGTTGCCTAGTATAGGGACATTGCTTCCACAAAGTCACCTTATTCAAATTGGAAGAGTGAGTTACTTTACTACCTTTGTAGGCTGGCCTTGGGTAGGAGTGGTGCTGATAGAGAAGAGAAGGCTAAAGGGGCCAGCATGTGGTCCTATTGACAGTTTACTCAATCTCTGTCTTTTTTTGGAAGAATGTGAATTGTAGCTGCCAGTATCTGCCAGTTGAATTTAAGAGAGTAGAAGTGATATGAGTACACTTGTGTTTTGTTTGTACTTCCTAATTTTTGTGCCCAGGGTCCAACTTGAGATTCCTCTGACTCCCCACTCTCAACCCCATGCCTTCTGCCTGCCACTCTCTCGTGGGTCACACATGACTGGCTGGTCCTTTCCTTCTTTTGAAGCAGCCTTCCCCAGTTCCTCCATTCTCTGTTGCCCCTACAGCTGGATACCTTGCTATTTTTTTGTGTTGCATGCCCCTCACCAACTAGATTGCATCCCTGAGTCCAGGACCTTTTCTGTCTTGCTGTCTGAAGTATCCCTAGGGGTTGAGCAGTGCCTGACGTAGATTTCTGTCCCAGTGATATTTCTTCAGCGAGAGAATAAAATAGACACTTATTCATTTATCCAGAAGTGCTGCCTGAGCACTCATCATAGGTGCTGTGGAGTTTATCTCAGATTCATGATCTGTAGGTAAAAGACTGTCTTGAAAGTGTTTTGGGGACCAACATCAGAGAGACCCTTTGTGTGGATTATTTTCTCTTAGAGTAGAAATAGTCTGAAATTCTCTTGTATCCCGTCTTTTCTGGAGTTAGCTCTCCTCCAACCCCCACCCCAGTACTTTGAATTGAATCCAGGGGTGCTCTACCACTAAACTACATTTCCATCCCTTTTTATTTGTTATTTTGAGACAGGTCCTTGGATAAGTTGCTTAGGCTGGCCTTGAACTTGTTATCTTCCTCTCTGAGCCTCCCAAATCTCTGGGATTATAGGTGTGTACCACCATGCCTAGCTAGAGTTAGCATTTCTTATTCTATGTTCTGTTTGGGTTGAGGAATTCTTATCTATTCATCCACATCCAGCTCAGATAGCCCCTCTCCTGTGGAGCCTTTACTACTTTCTGGGGTGTTCCCTTTTATACTGTGTCCCACATACCACTACCCAGATTGTATGCATATTAATAATCTACTATTTGCTGCAAACTTGTCTTCTAATGAAAATAGAAAGTTATAGGATGGGTAACATATATTCATTTCCCTCTCTTGCTTACTTTATTAAAGTTGGTGTGTATCTTTGTAGTCCAGGTTTTTATGCTTAATTATTATGTATTTGCACATTACTAAACAACATATAGTTGCACGATTTTTAAATTTTTAAGTACAAAATATATGGTTTATAATCTCTTGCAGCTTGCTTTTATTAATTTCAACACATAGATATCTCCACATTGATAAAAATCAATGGTTTATTCATTTTAATAAGTAATGTTGGGTTATTCATTTCAGTTGCTTTATAGGATCATATATTGTGTGAGCATCTGAATTATTTTTAACTTTTTAGTATGGAAATTTCCAAACAATAAAATAGAAGTAATAGTATAGTACACTCCAAGAGGCTGAGCACTGAAAAGTAATTATTTATTTATAATGCATTGCCATTCCCCCACCTACTCCCATCCCACATTGTTTTGAAGCAAATCCTAGACATTGTATCATTTTGTCTATAAATAGATTATCATTCTCTTAATGATGGTATTATGGCATTATGGATTGTGATGGCATTATTATTTATCCATTTTGGAGGTTAACATCCACCAAGTTGTTTATGTGTATTTGTGAGAATTTCTCTAGTGTGGATTCCTATAAAAAGAACTACTAAGCTGGGCATGGTACCACATGGGTGTAATCCCAGCCGCTGAGGCAGGAGGATTTCGAGTTCAAAGCTAGCCTCAGCAACTCAGCAAGGCCCTAAGCAACTCAGTGCGATAAGATGCAGTCTCTAAATAAAGCCTTCAACACAGATCTAAACTAAAACTCGATTTCTTTAGTGAATATAGATCCGTTTAGATTTTTTCTCAAATCAATTATATTTTCAGAATAGGGTCTACTTATTAATATAATTAATATAACAGTTTTATATTAATATCATAATATTAATATAAAACTGTTCATGATGTTTGCCTCAGTCTTTTCCTGAGGTCTATATTAATGTTTTCAAACTATAACCTGTTAGTTCCTGGATCTGTTTTTTTCTTTACTTTCTAGTTCACTAATTACCACTTTAATATTATCTATTTATATTATTATCTTTTTATTTTCTTTGGGATACTCTGTTGTTTCTTTATTGAGTAAAATGCTATTTTAATACTAATTTCCTAATATATGTATTGAAGTATAATATATGTATATAAGTTTTCCCTCAATACATTTTTAGGTACATCCAGAAATTTTTATATTTTGTGGTTGCTATTTTTATATGATTGATTTCTAAGTTTATTGAATTACATTTAGAGGATGTGGTCTGTATTATCTTTTGGTATTTTATGAGTCTTGTTTTTTATCTAGTTTTGGTAAAATTTCATAGATACTTGGAAAGAATGCCTGTTTACTAAAAGTTCAATAGCCATAGGATCTCATATCTATAGGTACAACTTGTTTACTATATTATTCACATTCTATCTGATCCTCACAAATATTTTGTCTGAGGGAGATTCCCTCAACCCTAATGGGATTATGTTCTTACACTTACTTGTTTTAAATATTTAACTCCATTATCTCCATTGGAACCTTAACTTCTTAAAAGCAGGACTGTGTTTCACTGCCTAGGAAAAAAAGGTGCTAAGTAAATAATTCATTTAGGAAATGTACAGCTAAATAAATGGAGTATAATATTTTCTTCTAGTAGTTGGTGGAAACTGGGTATTTGGAAAGAAGGCAGCTCAGCAAACCCAATGGGAGGAGGCTGCTGCCAGAACTGGTCCAGATAACCCCATTAGGATAACAGGTCTTTTCTAGAAAGCAAGTCTTTTGGAATCAGGTCATGTAGGGACTCAACAAACATTGCCTCCTTAGGTTGAAAGAGTTTGGATCTCTCCGGGGAGATCCTTCTATGACAGGGAGGCTCTGGCAGCAGGCCACTTTTCCAGGCATCTCTTTCTACTCACCATAGGTGCAAGTTCTCCAAAAGGAACTTGCTGCCTCCACTTCTGAAGACACACACCCCTATAAGGAGGAGCTGGAGACAGCCTTGGAGCAGTGCTTCTACTGCCTGTACAGCTTCCCTAGCAAGAAGAGCAAGGCCAGGTACTTAGAGGAGCACTCAGCCCAGCAGGTAAGTCTGCCACCACAGGCCTGGGAAGGAGGCAGCTCTGATGAAGAGTGGGGCTCCAGGGAAGCAGAAGCTCTTTTGAAACATGTCAGATTTGTTATACTCAGCTCCACAGTCAAGTTGCAAGAAGAGTACAAGTTGCAAGAAGAGTACAAGAGGACCTTATGATGTCCTTTGATTAAAGGATAAAGAGTTTCCAAAAAATGGTGTCCTCATAAATGTTGACAAAGATTCAAAAATGTAGTGTTGCAATTCTCTGTAGATTTATTTGTAACTTGGATATGAATAATTCCTTAGAGGTTTTTCTTTCTCTCTCTCCTTTTTTTTAAAGCACTCTTGGGTTATTAGCTCATGGTTCCTCAATACTGTCAGTTTTTCTCTAATCTTAGGAATTTTGTCCTCTAAAATATGAGTTCCTTAGGCTAGGGTCTCCACTCTGGTTCCTGCCTTTAAAACTATCCGGAGTCAGCACTCAGTTTTCGTCAACCAAATGACTGAGGGAGCAGCTGTGGTACAGAGAGGGTCAGTGGCTGGCCCCAGGCCCCCACTTATGATAGAACCCACCCTCTGGCTGAGCCATGTGATCTCACAGAGCATAATCCTCAGTTAAAATATTTGTCTTTATAAAAACTAGGCTTATACTTTTCAAACACTTGAATTTAAGGATTACACTTGGTGTGCAGATTTTAAGAAGTGTAATGGGGACTTGTTATAGACCCTTTAATATATTGTGACCTTATTTACATTGGTCATAATGCATATCTATGGAGAAACTTTTTTCTTTACTCTGAGTGTAATATGAATCTGCCTTCTGTCTTTTTTCAAGGTGGATCTTATATGGGAGGATGCCCTGTTTATGTTTGAGTATTTTAAGCCCAAGACCCTTCCTGAATTTGACAGCTACAAGACCAGCACTGTATCTGCTGATTTGGCCAATCTCCTGAAAAGAATTGCTACCATTGTGCCCCGTACAGAGAGGCCAGCACTGAGCCTAGACAAAGTCTCTGCTTACATTGAGGGGACATCATCTGAGGTGGGCCTCAGTAGATACAAGGAGGTGGGGGTTATGGGGCCATATCACATTCCTCCCCTCCAACATTGCTACCTGTATGCCCTGGTTTCTTTCCTGCTGTGCATAAGATGCCAGGGTTAGGAGAAGCCAGGGATCTGTCATGTGTTGATAGGACCAAGCAGTCCTGGGCTTATAGGGCACAGCTGAGGCCACCTCCTCTTATACTTACTCTCTTACCTGGTAGGTGCCCTGCCTCCCAGAAGGGGCTGACCCCTCTCCTCCAGTAGTAAATGAACTCTACTACCTCCTGGCTGATTATCATTTCAAAAACAAGGAGCAGTCCAAGGCCATCAAATTCTACATGCATGACATCTGCATCTGCCCTAACAGGTGGGTAATTTGGGCTAGGGCCAGGCTGGCTACCCAGAGGGTTGGGGTGACTGGCTCAGCCAGATCTTCAGGAGGCCAGTTTGGAGTTTCCCTGCTCACAACAAGGGGGCCAGGGAAAAGAAATAAGAAGGTAGTTTAGTACACTACAGTTATTAGAAAAGTAGGTTCTCCATAAAAAGAACAGGACAGAAGGCTTCTTTCCCTGAAAGGGACAGGGCGTCAGAGAAGGTCCAAAGTATAATTTGGGCCTTGGTGTGTGAGACAAGGAGGTGCTGTTTTGTGCTGCTTCCTTTCTGGTTTCAGGCCCCAGGAAGTTGGGTTATATGTACCCTTAAGTGTTTCTGTTGCAGGTTCTTTAATTATGGTTGTTTTCTTGGGGTAGAGAGGGTAATAGGAAAAACTCAAACTGAAGTTCTCTTTCCTTGATGAGACTCAGGGCATCATTGGCAGTAGTGGTTGTCACCTGATGCATGTAGGAGAGCTCTGTATGTGTGAGACTTGTGCTTTCTTCCCAAGAAGCCTTGCTTAACTTTCTCTTAAAATGTGATTGGCCTGAACATCCTTAAAGGCCCTGCTCTACTCATGAAGTCAAGTGCACTTGATACCTTCTCATGGCTGGCGCACCTAGGAGGTAAGCCTTGTGTCACAGTTAACATAAGACCACCCTCTGTGGCTGATCAGCCTCTGAAGGTATTATGTCTGTAGACAGGCTTCCTGGTGGTACTCAGAGGCTAGCCCATAGTAGCTGTCCTTAACTATAAGCACAAAACTGTTCTCACTTGGGAAACCTGAGAATTTCAATGGATTCCACCTGACCAAGGGGGAGAAGGGGTTGGGATCTGAGTGGTAAAGCCAATTTGTAAGACTTCCATAGCTTATGGGAATAGTCCTTATTGGGCCCCTTTTGCTCAGTCTGTGGTTCCTTCCAGGCAAGGGACTGTGTACTTAGAGCCCTGGATATCCTCTCTGGGGGCTGTATACCATTGTAGTGGCACAGACTTCCATTAACACTGGCTGAATGCTCACTGTGTGATACACTGTGTTACTAGGGATCATCTCCTCTGTACTGCTGCTGCCCCATCTGTAAAGTATGGTAAAACCTACCAACCTTGGGGCGGCAGGCACTTCATGTAGCTTCTCTCATGTGACAAGCCCTTAATCACTGAAATGAGAGTTGCAAAGTCTCAACCATACCTCCCTCCAATTTGCATACCACCTTATCGGAGGGTATCAACCCACTAAGTCTACCTGCTACAGAGGAGGGGTCTCTGAAAGCTGGCCCCACAGCCAAGAAGGAACCTATCTTGGTCCTGAGCCTCAGCCCTTTGCCTTCTTCATTCTGGCCCTAACAGACAGGTGCCAGGGGAGACTTGTGGCTTCTGGTCTAACTAATGTGGAAGTTTGGATACAGTTTTGTTTTTTTTTTTTTCCCTTATTAAAGTCTTCTGAGCTTGTTGGGTAGGGGTGAAGCCCATAACAGTCAGCTGGGTGGATAATAGGGTCATGATTATAGTGTTGGAGGTTCTTATCCGGAAACAGAGTCTATGAGAACAAATACTGGTAACAGTTTTTTCCTTCCTTTGTGTTGACCTTTCTTTTTGCTTTTGCTAAACTGGAGGTAGCCCAAATTGGTCACAGCACCATTTGGGGAGGGGGAAAATGAAAGTAGTACTAGTACAACTTATCTCCATTGCCAAGGAGATAACTCTGTATCCTGTGCTGGCATCAGGCCTGCCCTGCATAAGTCAGAGCTGACATTCTACCCCCACCCCCAAGTTCACATCATTGGCCCTCAGGCCCCTCGGTGTCCCTGTAAATCAGTATTTCTAGAGTATGGGCATGTACTGCACTGCCAGGGTCAGATACTCACATCAGAAGATGGCTCTAGGTGGGACACTTAAACATTTTCAGTTGTCCTGATGATATGCTTCTGCTTTTGATTACTTTGTGATAAGAGATACTGGTTTTTATGTTGGTTCTATGTAACCACATAGGCAGTATTGTGATGTGGGCTCTTTTTTCAAGGTGAGGACAAATGGAATACAGAAAACATACTGGAAATTGAAAGAAACTAGTCCTAGTGAAGGGGAGTTTGACATCTAGCCCCACCCTCTTCCAGGGTGATATAAGCAGAGGAAGGGAAGACATGGTAGCCTTGGGTCCCCAGGTCCCTAAAGAGGAAGAGCTACTCTCAGGAGCCCCTCAAATGGAATGAGGGATGAAGCCTTTGTCTTTGCTGTCCTCCTTACCCCAGTGAGCCTTCTGTCTTTTTCTGTTTCCTTCATTAATACAGTTTCCTCCTTGGGTACTGAAGTGCAGTGAAAGTACATCTGAACTCACAAGGTTCCTTGACAACATCTTGGAGATATGGTAAACTATTAAATAGTTCAGGAAGACAATTAACCCTTTTTAAAGTCATAGTAGCTAACTTTAGCTGTGGTGGTCAAGAATTGTTGGCATATGGGAGAGTAACTTCTTTCATCCTTCTAGTTCCTTTTTTTGTTGTCTATCTAGCATTCAGAAAATTCCAAACTCTGTTAAGAGCCCATAAATTATCTTGGTCTTGGTGTCTTTGTAACTGATTATCCTCGCAGAGAGGTTTCTACATTCTCACCCTTAGTTTCTTTCAGATAGATGATCTCAGAATAATAGGGGCTCAGCCATCACATATTCCCCCTCACTCTTTGTTTTACTGCTGGGAACTAAGCTGGAAAGGTCAGAGTCTGCTCAGGGTCCCAGAGGGAAAACAGGGAGAGGAGTGGCTGGTGACTGTGCTCTTGTTTGGTAAGTATGTTGATGCAGGCTCTGCCTATGTAGGAGGAGGGACTATGACACCTGCTGAAAGTTTCCCCATCACTTTGACTGGGCCCTTTTTTGATGCTTTGCAGAGCGCCCCTGTTTCTTTCCACGAGAGCTATTCCTCCTCAGTTCAGGGAAACAGAGGGCAGCAAAGTCCAAGAGCCCATCCAGTAAAGCAGTCATTGAGTGCCTGTGAATTATAGAAGGACTTATACATTTTATCTTTCAACAACTCGCAGCTTTTCTCTTGAGATAGATCTTCTTAGATATATGTCATGATATAGGAACTGAGACTTTGAGACGTGGCTGGTCCAAATCATGATCTTGGGCTTTGAGCTCTAGTGTTACGGTAGTACAGTGTCCACAGTGCCTATCTGCCTACCCTCAGAGCCATCATAACTGCCCTACTATCAGGGCAATGGTGGTCTTAGCTTGTGCTTTTTTTGTCACCCACTCCAGGTTTGATTCCTGGGCAGGCATGGCTCTGGCCCGGGCCAGTCGCATTCAGGATAAGTTGAACTCCAATGAGCTGAAGAGTGATGGACCAATCTGGAAACATGCCACACCTGTCCTGAACTGCTTCAGGCGGGCCCTGGAGATCGACAGCTCTAACCTGTCCCTGTGGATTGAGTATGGCACCATGTCCTATGCCTTGCACTCATTCGCTTCACGCCAGTTGAAGCAATGGAAAGCGGAGCTGCCTCCTGAGCTTGTGCAGCAGGTGAGGACCAGCTAAGCAAAGGGGCCTTGTCATCCTTCTGTCTGACCAGAGTGCCCTCAGGACTACAAAATTCTTTTCCAGACATTCTTTGTGCCTGTCTTCACATTCAAGCCAGGAGTTCAGGAGTGATTATTCCCAGGAGGCTCAAGCCATACCATACATAATGATAACTTGTCCCCTTGGTTTTTAGACACCCAATCCAGTGCAGGCAAGTTCAGGGACAGACTATTGTGACCTGACTTGTCAGTCATCAGTTTGAGAGTAGTTAATTGGTAGGGCGAGAGGTGGTAGCCAACTGAAGGAAAGTATCTCTTCCCTTTTTCCTCAAAGGAATTTATTGGGTCCTTATAAAATTCTTGACCATGTGTTGGGATTTTTTAAGTCTCTTTTGGTAAGGAGCACCCTTAGTGGGAGATGCTGGGTCTAGCCTGAGGTCTCTGTTCAGCAGGTAACCCTGGCCTCCTTGAAAAGGAAGCAAAGGAACCATACTGACTTTTGGTTTTGGTTTTGGTGTTTTGGTGATGCTGGGTATCAAACTTGGGGCCTTACACATGGTAAGCAGATACTCTACCACTGAACTGCATCCCCAGCCCTCAAACTGACATGTTTAGACTAGTACAGAAGTAAGGTACCCTGGCCCAAAAAGGTCTCCCAGGAAAGCAGTGTGCTGAAAGAGAACTGCTGGTTGGATAGATGTTGCTAAGCCTTAAGTTCTGCAGTGTTCATCTTTAATCAAAATTCAAAAAAAGATGATGGCATTGTTAACACTATCATGGGATTGTTGGAGGACTGAATGAGAGTCTCAGCCCACAGTTGTGCCACTGAAATCCTCTGAAAGCCCCTCTGCCCTGGAGGATGAGCTTTTGTCATTGTGCCCAACATTCTGAGACTGTCAGTGACATGCCACAATTGCCGTTGGCCTGGTTCTTCCCTCTGGCGATAGCAGCCCCAGCCCTCTACTCTTTCCCCTTTGCAGGTTCAAGTCCTTACTGCAGCCACATAGATCATAGATAGGAACCTTAGAGGGGGTCAGTGGATACTTCACAAATTCATAAACTGTTAAGAGCTGCAGCGGGAGGGCATAAGAAAGGACCTTACACTGGTGAGAGGCACCCTTAATTTAAGTCCAGTTCTGCACCTTACTTTATGTGTACTTGTGAGGAATCCCCAAGGCTCTTCATGTCTCATTGTCATCAGCTGGGAAATGCTGACAACAGTCTGGTCTCAGGGTTGTTGAGAGGAATATAAATTTTGTCAACAAATCAACTGAATTAATATTGGAAAAAGCATGATTCCAGGGTAGGTTCAATCCTTGTGCCTAAGGCCTATGCTCTTGGGACTTGTTACAGATGGAGGGCCGGAGAGACAGCATGCTGGAGACAGCCAGGCACTGTTTTACATCGGCAGCTCACTGTGAGGGCGATGGTGATGAAGAGGAATGGCTGATCCACTATATGCTAGGCAAGGTGGCTGAGAAGCAGCAGCAGTCACCAGCCGTCTATCTGCTGCACTATAGGCAGGCTAGCCACTATCTGCATGAGGAGGCTGCCCGCTACCCCAAGAAGATCCACTACCACAACCCACCTGAGCTGGCCATGGAGGCCCTGGAGGTGACACCATGTTGGCTCAGGGTTGGGAGTCAGGGCAGGGATGGGCTGGTCTCTCTGTCTCCTTGGGGATGGGGCTCACAATCTCAGTGACTCTCCTGCAAACCCACTGGAAACTTCTCTGTGTTCAGCAGTTTTATGTGCAATTAAATTAAAGCAGCCTTTCTTCTCTTTTTCTAAGGGTGCTTACCATCCTTTCTGGAAGAACGTGCGATTGTTCTCATCTCTCAGGAAAAAAAAAAAATCCTTTCTCATTAGCACCCACAGGTTTGAAGAGCTTGACCTTGGTGATGACAGTCAGTAAAGTTCAATGTCTTCTGGTGCCAAGGGGGAGTATAGCCCGGCAGGGGGAGTACAGACACTCTGTCTTCCAGGTGCATATGAGACATCCAAGGCCCAGTGAGGTCCCAGCCTATGTCTGGGATACCCAGCTTGGCAAAGTTGAGCCAGGGTGAACAGTCTGCTCTTTACCCCAGATTTGTTTTTTTTCTCACTGCTTCTCAAGAGAAAAGCAGTTTTTGTTTTTGAACTGCTGGGATTTTCTTTTTTGATTTCCAGTGTACCTCTGATGAATGCTCTTACTGTTGCTCATGGTAGGTAGTCTTGAGGGGCAGGCCAGGCAGCTGTGACCAGTGCATTTTGTAGGGGAGGAAACCAAAGATGTGGGTGGAGATCCAGACATGCTTGGCTTAACCCAGGATTCAAACTTCCCCTGAACATGTTAGCTTTGCCCTTCCTGAGACTGCTAACATGCCCAGCAAGTTTTTTAGAATTAAGGTAGAATTTACTGCTTACTAATCCTTTTTCTACCTTCATGTGTTTTTCCCCCCATGATAAAATTAACATGTAGTCATGTTTTTATTTTCTTTTTAAAGGGAATCAGACAATTCACAAGTATATAAAACATGAAAGTCCCCAGTGATATTAACACCTGCCCCATTTTAATAATCCCTATTAACAGTTTGGGCATGTCCCTGTATGTCCTATTGTTTTTTTAATCAATATGTAGGTAGATACTTAATAACATTTTCTGAGTTCTTTGGACAAGATGTAGTTGAAGGTATGGTGAGCTTCCCTGCCTGTTCTAGTGCCCCATGGTTGGGCTGGGCATTTGTTTATCTATGCAGTGCCTTCTTAATGGGTTTGGCTTCCCCTCCACTTCTTAGGACATGTTCCTGTACTTGTATCAGAGAGCACTTAATGAATATTTCCAAGGGCTAAAGTTCAAAGGTGGAATTGCTGGGTCTTTTAACATTTTGAGCAACAGTGTCCAGTTACCCTGACAGGTTATACTGATTGATGAACTTGTTTTTCTCCCCAGTCATGCTAGAACTTGCTTTTTACACAATTGCTAATCCTGTGAGCAGACAAAAAAAAAAAAAAAATCTTAATTTTTAAAAGTTGCTGTGAAGTGTTTATATAGTGGCTGTTAGGAGGCCAGATATTCTTAAGTATAGAGAGTAAAGCTTCCTATTGAATGCTTTTTCAGCAGTGGCCAACTCCTTCCCTCTTCACTGTACTTTCACACGATCTACTAGGCACTGAGTGCGTATAACTTTGCAGAGGAGAAGGCTGAGGTCCAGGGAAGAAATGTGACTCACCCTAAATTACCAGCAGGAGAGAAAGGGAGCTGGGCCAGATCCCACCGGGCCTCTAACTGATATGTGACACCTCTGGGCAGAACTGACCCTGGCTAGAGTGGAGGTGGAGGGTGGGGGAAAGTGACTTGGATTTCACAAAGATGATATCAACTCTCCATGGTTTTTTCTTTTGAGTTTTGGACTCTGCTTCTGTCTAGTAGAGCCAGTGACCAAGCAGGATGATGGCCTCAGGGGGCCCAGGGACTTCCAAATGAGGAATTAAGGCCCCAGTTATATGGATCACCCTTCTCCAGTACACTGGGCTGGCTTGAAGGATTGCAGGTGCAGAGTTCATTCCAGGGGCATTCCAATGTATCTGTAACTTTGAATCAGTTGATGCATGTGTATATCTTGTTTTATAAATGACATTTCTGTGAAGAACTTAACCCTGCTCTGTTGAAAATGAAATGCCTTGGTTCCTCTGATGTGGAACCTTGATTCAAAAACTTTACTTGCCTCTTAAACACTTTGCCCTCCTCCAAGTTTGGCCACCTGGATATTTATGGATGGTTTCCTACAATTAAAAATGGAGTTGCTGAGCCAATTTCTCTGGAATCCATAGGCTAGAAGTGGAGCACTCTGGGTGTGAGCCCTCTCTGTCTGGTATGCCCCCTTGAAAATGCTACCAGGGCCTGGACCAGCAGACGCTTGTCACCTAAGTGAAAACCATCTTTGGTATATGCAGAAGCCTGCTAGTCAGGGTCTGAGGTGCCAGCAGTTCTCAGGCCCTGGGATATCCATGCTATAGATATGCTATCTGTACTACAGGCAGGAGCTACATTATACCCACATTATCAAGCTGACTGTGGAGGTGTGTCTGCTTGTGGTGTATCATTTATGTAGGAGCAGCAGAGGGCAGAAGACAGGACAGACCTGGGTTTTACCTGGCTTTGAGCTTTCCTAGCTGTGGGACTTTAGGCAACTGACTTCACCTATTTGTAAATTAAGGAATGTAGTAGAAAGCACAGAACCTTATCTGATTCATTGTTCTGCCTGTTTACCTGTCCTGAATCCTACAGGCAAAGGTTCTTGAGACCTATGAAGACCTTGCTCTTCCCTGGGGCTGGATTACAGATAGGAAATCCTACCTAGTCTTTACCTTAGGGCATGCCTAGTTCATTGTAAAGACAGATATATAGTCTCAGTTTCTGTGGGTGCCAGGAAAGGGGCACAAAGGATCAGTGGCATCACAGTAGGAGGCAGTGCCCAGTGAATGGAGCCAAGGTCCTTACTCTTATCTTACCGCCACAAGCCTGGATTACTAGGTAAACATTTAAGCTGAAATGCTGACAGTATTCATTTTAATTTTTTAATTCATTTAATTTTAAATTTTGAATTAGTTATGGATTTGGCTGGCTTAAAAGGTAACCAAAACAGGGGAGTGTGTGGTGGCCTGTCATCACAGGCAGGGACCCACTTCCAGTGTGGCTGCTAGCTAAGGTTATAGCACTGGGAAGGCTGCTTACACCAGAAGTGTTGTTCTAGGTGTACTTCCGGCTCCATGCTTCCATCCTGAAGCTCCTGGGAAAACCCGATTCTGGGGTTGGTGCAGAGGTCCTGGTCAACTTTATGAAGGAAGCTGCAGAAGGACCCTTTGCCAGGGGTGAGGAGAAGAATACACCCAAAGCTTCAGAGAAGTAAGTAGCATGCTTGTGGTAATCCCACATGCCTCATTTACTGCAGTATAGTGTTCAGAATATGGCTACTGGGTAAACTGGAACTCAGAGTCTCTGGAACCTGCCTGGAAACTCTAATTGCTGGGCCAAGATCATCCTGTTGAATGTGAGGGAGAAGGTGAGTGTGTAGTCCTCAGCTCCTCATCCTGTGGCCATGACACCTGGTGTCACCCCACCCTTGGGTGCATGTCCTAAAGTGAAGCCGGCACCTTCCCTTTCACTCCACTGAAGTACAGCTCTGTTTTATGCAGAGCATTGTAGAAGGCCAGTTTTCACTTTGTAGATGCCTACCCCACCCCCTATCCTTTTCTGGGGTCCTCCCAAGGATGGGTTACCTTTGAGGCCTGGTGTACTGCCTGTTCTCAGAAACAGTGAGGGCCATTAGAGGCATGGGTTCTTCCTGCAGTGTCAGAGAGCTCAAGGAAGCTGGTGCCCTGGCGTGGTCCAGTGTCCCACCCTGGTACTTCTCTTAACTCACTCCATCTCTGGGGCCCCTGCCTGAGCCCTGCTCCCAGGTCCAGTCCCTGAGGGCCTTATGTTCATGGCCACAGGTAGACACATGACAGAGAGAATTTGCTACAAATAGTCCACAGAGGCAGTATCCCTCAGCTTATTGAAAAGATAAGCACCCAGGTGGTGTGTTACTTGGGTAGGTTCAGTGTTCTCAGAAATTACATAAATATAAAGAATCCCCAGGGTATAATGAAGTTGTCTTTCATTGACCATAATTCTGTTATAATAGTTTTTTAATTATACAAATAAAATGTGACTGACCATATTCTAGTTATAAGAAATTTAGGTACATATAAATAGAGTTAGACACTATTCATAGTTTAATTTCTCAAATCATTTTCTTTAATTTGTACATGCTTATGTTCACACATAGAGTTAAGGGTTTTCTTTATCTCATAAAAATAAGTTATTGAAGGTGTTGCTCCAGAGTTTGCTTTTTCCCTCAACGATGGGCCTTGGCCACAGTCTGTAAAGATGATAATCTTTTCACCACATTCTTTCTTTTTTTTTTTTAATATATATTTTTTTAGTTGTAGTTGGACACAATACCTTTATTTCACTTATTTATTTTTATGTGGTACTGAGGATCAAACCCAGGGTCTCGCATGTGTGAGGCGAGCACGCTACCAATGAGCCACAACCCCAGCCCCTCACCACATTCTTTCTATTCCATATTTATTATTGCATAGTACAGATATGCCTGGTTTTATGTAACCATTCCAAGGTTATATGGAAGGTGTTTCTACTTTTTTTTTTAATCCATGTTGCAGTAGATGTACTTGTATGAGTGTGAGCCTATAATAATACAGATGTATTTCTGTCCACCCACTTGTCAGGGATTAGATCTGTTGGGTTGTCACATAGAAGTGCACTGACTTGGTATGAAGGGGTGTTGGGTGCTTCTGAGGAGAGGCTTGTCAGCTTCCCTAAAGAGACTACTGGGCCCTGAGATCCAGAGATGCCTCAGAGTCTGGGCCAAAAAGTTTGAGCCGCCATCCATTTAGGGGCTTGAGCTGTCCGGGTGCTGTCAAAACAGCTTTACATGAGAGCAGCATACTCTGGGAAGGATACTGACCCACAGTGGCACATGTCCATTTCACTGTGATATGGAGGCTCTAACCTGTGCCCCAACCCTCTGTCCCCACAGGGAGAAGGCCTGCCTGGTGGATGAGGACTCCCACTCTTCAGCTGGGACACTGCCGGGCCCCGGAGCCTCCCTCCCCTCCTCCTCTGGCCCAGGTCTGACATCCCCACCTTACACAGCCACTCCGATTGACCACGATTACGTCAAATGTAAAAAACCCCACCAGCAGGCGACGCCGGACGGTATAGTCCCTGTTCTCCCTACTGCCAGCCCAGGGCGGCACGCCAATCATGGGGAGGGTGCTCAAGCGACTTTATTTTGTCGCTTTGTTTTGGTGAGGGTGGGTGTTGGGTCTGGGGTGACACGGGCAATGTTGCGGCTGTTCATTAACTTCATGGACTCACGGTGATTCTTGTGCTTCCAAGACATGCTCAGGGTCGCCACCTGCTAGCTTGCCCACCTGGGAGCCAGTGTAAGGGTCAGGTTGGACTTAAGTGCCTCACTTGTTTGAACCTGCATTTTCTCAGTTGCAAAATGAGTGTGCTGACATTTCCTTTGTGGGGCATTTGGAAGACATGTCTTTGGTGAGGCCTGCACCATTCAGTAGCATGTTATATCTCTGTCCTGACCATCACAGGAAGGTGATGACTAATTAAATCTTTCACCCTGGGGTATTCAGACAGGATGTTGATGGAAGTCACCTGGGATCATGTGCAAGGCCATCCCATGTGGAATGGGGCAGGTGGCGACTATTCAATCACATTTCTTACTAACCTTAGGAGGCTTGCATGCTTGCATGTAGCTTTATTTCTTCATGTTCTCCTCACCTTTACAGTGACAAGATGGGATAAACCAAACTGGTGAATTTAGAGAACCATTAAAGTGAACCCCTGAGAAGATAGTGACAATGCTGAAAGATACCTAGGCCCTCACTCCAGTGTGGCTCATCTTATCCAGGCTGTGGGAAAACAGGCCTTGCTCTACTTTCCCCAAGGTGATGGGAAACCCCTAGGTGGGTAGGATTGGACCCAGGGCTTTGCCTCCTGCCAGGTAGCCTTTGTAGAGCAGTTTCTCAGAGGAAGGATGGGCCTTCTGGGCACCACAATAGCCTTGAAGTTGAGGTCCAGTTCAGCTCTGGGTGGAGGGGAGCCAGGAAGGCATACTGCCTTGGCTCCAGTGCCCTGCTGAGGCCCTGTCCAGTGTGTACAGGTTCCTGGAGAACATGGGCATATGCCCCAGCTTGCTGAGCCAAGAGATCATCAGAAGCACTGGTGAGAGATGACAAGATGGCCAAGGCTTAGCTTCTCCAAGGGTGGGATTTGGTCATCTCCTGAGAGAACAGAAGACTTGCAGCGTCCCTTCCTGGATTTGGCTCTGTAGCATGTGTGTTGAGAGAGAAGCAGTGTATCTGTGTGTGTGCTGCATGTCTCTGACTTCTCTCAATGGGATTGTGTCCTTACCCTGTCCAAGCATTGGCACCTCCTTGCCCTCCCTGGAGTGTTGAGCTTGCTGCCTGTTACTCCAGTCTTCAGTTCTGTGGAAATTCCTTAAGTAAGATCCTCTCCTTCTTAATTAACTCATGTTAGCCCAGGAAACCACCCTGTTCCAATCTTTTGCTCTTGAGAATATTGAGAAACTGCATTCGCAATAAATCCTTGCTCTGAGAGTTAGTGTCTGCCAGGTACTTCCTGTGAGGATTTAGCACCTGCCAAAGTTTTCAGGAAAGAGAACATGCCATGTGGCTCCACTCCTGTGTTCTTGGGTAGAAAGTTCCCGCACCAGCTGTGCATCTTCCCACCCAGCTCAGGCCACAGGCATCATAGGGCTTGGCTGCTTGGCTGTCAGTGCATACAGCTAGGAGCACCTCTAGAATCATGGAAGAAAGGAGGCAGGAGCATCTCAGAAGAGGAAACATGTCACCACCTGGCACCAACTACCTAGCTGCCCCATGCAGGTACATAAGTGTGCATAGAGTTGGGAAGGCAAGTAGGCACTAGGCATGACACATTCAGGATGCCAACATAACTATTGGTTCTATAAGCTTGCAGATGGAGCCATATAAATAAATTCAAATATGCTTTTAGTGGTTTCAAAGTGATTCCTATCAGCAGTGTGGAACCATTGGTATTTCATCGCCCATTTTTGCCCAGTCCCACCCCAGTATGTGGAGCAGCACAGTGCTTTTCTCCCTCACCTCTAAGAGAAAACAATGTCTGTAACAGAAAAATATTCAGAGCCCTAAAATAGCTGTGATTTTCAAATGCCACAGTGGCCATTCACCAGCTTCACTAGTTCTTAGGGAAAGGCCCAGACTTTAGGCAGAAACAGCAAACTGCTGTGTCAGGGGATTTCGCAACCTCAAGAGACCACAGTGCCCATTCCTGCTTCCTGACCTGGCTGGCTCTGGGAGGAAAATATATGGCTCATGCTTTCCACTTAGCTCCTCAGTCTGAACACAGCTTCAGGTTCTCCCTGAAAGAACAAGGGCATTAGCACTCATTGCAATTCATAGCCAAGCCCAAGCCCTCCTCCTGCAAGGAGAGTGATGGGTGCTTCTACTCCTGATACTACTGGGTTCAGAGAACTGCTTGAGTTCAGACAGGAAGGCAAGGACAGAGCAGATGTCTGACCTGGAGTCAAGACATCTGGCTTCCAATCCTAGTTCCATTGCTTACATGCTTAGCAACCTTGGACAAGGGCCTGCATTTCTCTGAGCTAGCTTTCCCTTATAAAATGGAGTATATTTGCCTCATGGATATTAAACAAAAGTACTTGTTTACTCTTGTCCAGGTTCTTAGTGATGTTGGGATGAGAACTGGGTAGAATCACATAGAGGGAAGAGCCTGGGCTCTAGAACTCTTCACCCTTATTTTGCACCCTACCTCTCCAGCCAGTGGTATGACTTCAAAAAAGGTTAGGCACTGTCATCTGAAACAGCAGTTCTGCATGGGCCTGGGCATTGGGCTTCCTGAGTTCCAGTCTCCTGCCTCCTGGAGGCTTCTTAGGCTAATTAATTTGCCACCAGCGGGAAAAGGGAACCAAGCATCAGGACTGGCTTTGAGTGTAGTTAGGAGACACCATTAAGGCTGCCTCCCCACTTTGGTACTCTTTTGATTCAAAAGCAGAAATCCGCTGGATTCAACTGATTTGATGTAAGGTATAGTAAAGATTTAGAAAAATGGTTCCATGTATATATAGGTAACTTGACATTTGGTAATAGCTGCTTCATAGGATCCAGGTTCTCTGCTAGGGTTGGAAGCTTCCTGCAGCCCCTCCACAGCTTGGTGAAAGCCTTTAGAATTAACCCCTTAGGTCATCTCGAGACCACCACAGCCAACTTTCATTGCCAGCCCTTCTCATGACAGTCAGGAGGGGCCCTCTGGCCAAGCTGAGAAAAAGAGATAAGCCAGAGAAGGTTGTCCTTCCCACCTAATTAATTTCTGCCTTTCATCAGTCTCTTGGAATTGATCCACAGTGCTGAAATACTTCATGTTGAAACCTCTAGTCAGGACTAGGAAGCTGTCTAGAAGAAAAAAGTGACATGAGGAGAGTGGTGTGACCTTTAAGGGACTCCCAGTGATTGTTATTTACACATGTCAAACAGAGGGTAAGGAGATGTTTAAAAGAAACCTTTGTCCCTCTCCTACATGCAGTGTTGGTGTGCAAGTGTATGTGTATGTGCATGTATGTATGTAAGTAATTAGGCCCCTCCACAAGCACTGTGTTTACTATGTGCCAGATTTCAAGCAGGTGCCTGCAGGATTGTAGCATATCTCCATCTTGACAGCCACATTGCAGGCTTGGTTGTGTCTTTGTATCTCTGAGAGGAAATCAACTGAGGGGAGACACACATCTAAGACTCACACTAGTTGGGGCAAAGCTGAAAAGAGTGCAAGTTCTGAGTCTCTTATACCGAGGCCAGACATGAAGCTAATACAAGGAAGTCCCTGTGCCAGGCTGACCTGAGTGATTCCATCTGAATGTGTTTTCTTACTTGGAGGTACCTTAGAGGAGGGCCTAGGTTAGCAGGGTTGTTCCAGGATGGTTTGGTCCTTCACTTTGTCTGGCTTAGCTAGCCATTGGGATATGTAGCAGCTCTGTTGAACTAAGACCCTCTGCCTGTCTTACTCTGTCACTTCAGAATGCCACTTCAAGGAAGTACCTCAGAGGTCAGAGGCCTTGCCCTTCTCTGTGGTTCTTTGGCCAGAATATGGTCACATCCATCCAGGTATTCTATCAGCACTATGCCAGGTACACAGGATACAGGTCACATTAGTCAGTTAAACAGCCAAGGGTTGGGATACAACCAAAGCTAGCCACAAAGAGGTAAGTTTGCCTGTCCCAGAGAGGCCTGGCCTGGTCAGGGGTAGAAGGCCTTCTTGAGGAGTCAAAAGAGCCAATATCTGAGGGGTGCATTGGTTTACTGTGAAGGGCCTGGGGAGACAGGACAAGTGGGAGACTTGGTCTGATATTCATGGTGTAGATGATGCACCCCGCCCAGCCCCACTGACAGCATGAACACAACTGCCAAAGACCCTCTGAGGTTGTCCTGTGTCCCCCAGGTTGTAGGCTGTGGGCCTTCTCAAGAGTCATGGGTACCATAGCCAAACTCCCTTCACGGCCGTTCATCCTCACCCACCATGTTGTTACCGTCTGTTGTGTGCCATCTGTGCTCATCTTCACCTGTTCACCCCATACTGCCTTCACCAATATTGCCCGTGCTGCCCCTAACCCTGACCACACTCTGTACTCCAGGCTTTGTCTTTCTGCTTGCACCTGTCACGGCTCGCTTCAGGGAACAGCGCAGACCGCATGCTCAGCCCTTAGTCCGGCTCCCTGCTTCCCCTATGACCAGAAGCACCTTCATATTCACTGGTCCTGTGATTTGGAGAGTGTGCATTTGATGTGCTTGGCTTCTGTTGATGACCCATCTTCCCAGTTCTGGCTGGATGCAGAGGCAATTGTGGCCTCTACCTGACCCTCACCCATCCACCTGCTGAGCAGGTGGCTTAGTCCTATATTTCCATTACTTTGTTCTTTCTTGTTTTACGAAAAAATTATAATAACAACAAAGGCAACAGACTCAATACCAAATTCAAAACACTCTGTGCCTATAGTTCATGGAGACCAGGCTGCAGAGGGCCAGGAGCTGCAAAATGCTATCAGTCCTGAAAGGGTAGGCCTGTCCTGGTCTCTGCCCAGCAACCTCCCTTTCTAGGGTCAAGGGTAGGTCAGTTTCTGG